AAAGCCAAGTCTAACTCGTTCATTGTAGCAGCCAAAGCCGTTTCAAACAGCTGGTGTTCATCCGTAGCCATCTTGCAATGTTTACTGACTGATTCCGGACTTTGTCGTCGCAGCGCAGTCGTCATCTGTTTAGCTCGCCTCTGGCCCGCCTATATCAGATACACCAATGTGATTGGTGCAGCTCGGCTCCAACAGCATGTGTAATGAGCATCATTACTGAATGCCAGAGTGACTCGCTGAGCAAATTCAAATTGTGCTCTCGCGAGAACTCTGGATTTCCAGGGTACAGTTGAGGTGGTTCAAGCATCTGATCAGGATCCTCCTGGGCGCCTCCTGTTAGAAGTGTTATGTGCTCGTCCCACTGGTAGGAGGCTCCGGGGAAAGACCCGGAACACACTGGAGGGATTACACATCTCATCTCGCTTGGGAAAGCCTTGGGATCCCTCAGGAGAAGCTGGAAAGTGTTGCTGGAGAGAGGGACGTCTGGGGTGCTTTGCTTGGCCTGCTGCCCCTGTGACCTGGCCCCGGATAAGCAGATCGTCAAACATCGTCTTAACACATGGTGTAAAATGTCCTTTACAACATTAACTGTGACCCATTAGAACTATTGTGGAATACATAAACATTAATCGCTGCTTAGTGGGTAACGTGAGTGAATTAGAGCACATTTAAACACAGTTTTCTTTTAAACATATCGTCTCACGGCATGCTGGGAAACTCCATTCATTTAGCCCCGACACCACAATATGTTCAGTGCACAATGATAGTGTTGTTTATTGGCTTTAAACTAATTAGGTGAAATCGGCTCCATAAATGTAAGTCAAATTAACTCAAAAATTGTTGACTTAACATGAAAAAATTATGTCAGGCTCACAGGGAGGAGTTTTTGTGTCAAGTGAAGATAAAGTTTTTATGTCATTTTGACAATCTGGGGCATTTTGTGTCATGGATGGATTGGGGTTCACAGTGAGTGTCTTAACCTTTAAATCGGGCCTTAAATATAATCCTGAGAAAATATGGATCACTCTTAAACCACATATCATGTCCACAGTCTGAACTCAAAAGCAGCCCTTTATTAAGTTTTAACCCTGTGATGATAGCTTAAATATTATGCCTGTTCATGATAATTTTAAATGTGGTTTGACAGTTGCGACAGAAGCTCACAAAGACCATACAGAGTCTGTGGACTACTCTTTGTCTGTGCTGCCACTGCCGAATTTACATTAGTGACATCACAATTTGGTAGCTGGCAGCACTCATTGTATTGTTTGTTATGGTAGTTAAATAACAAAGACAGACTTATTAAATAGGTCTTACACACTGGACTCTTTATGTGTTCTGCAGATATTTAAAACAGTTTGCAGTGGTGGGGAAACTACTTTACAAGCTGATGATTACTTCACACTGAAAGTTGTACAAAAGCTACCCAAAGGAGAGATCTGGTTTGGTTTACTACAGGTACTCAGAAATGAAATAATAAACTTTATGTATAAAGCACCTTTCAAGACACAATTACAAACTGCTGCACAATAAAACTAAACACAATTATAACACAAGAAGAGTAAAACAAATAAAATGCCATCTAGTTAAAGATAAAATAAGGAAGGCCAAACTAAAAATGAGATAATAAATGAACATTAAAATTAATAATAAAATAGACCGACAGCTCAGATAAAGTCAGGATTTGTTTTCTGATAGAAGTATGTTTTTAGGAGAGACTTAAATGAAGCCAGTGACTCAGACAGCCTAATATCCTCAGGCAGGTTGTTCTAGAGCCTTCAGATCCTGGTGGCCAAAGCTCTGTCCCCTTTGATCTTCAGTCTGGACTGTGGGACAAGCAGAAGACCTCTGCCCGAGGATCTCAGACTACGCAGATGTTCATAAGGGACTAACCATGGCCATGAAGAGCTTTAAAAGTAATGAATAAGATTTTAAAGTCGATCCTAAAACAAACAAGGAGCAGATATAAAGTGGCTGAAACTGGTGTGACGTAGTCGTGCTTCTTGGTTTTGGTTAAAAGCCTTGAAAGTAACAAAATTTACAAAGACATTTACACCATGAACTGCTGCAGCAAAGGCACAAACTGGTGGTGAAAAATTAAGTGTTTGAGGCTCAAAATTGTCCGATTGTCCTTTACAATTCATATATGCCCCCGCCCCAGTGTTGAAACAAAACTTACACCCTTGACTCAGTTTGCCAGGTAACTTCTAAAAACATGCAACAACCTCTCTGAACATTTGTCAACAGGCTAAATAATCAATACTTATAACTAACTGTGGATAAAGGGGTTCAACTACAGTGAAGGAGCAACGGTAAACTAAAAATAAAAAATAATTTCTTTGCATTTATAGCCCAAAATTGTTTGTAGTTTCAGTAGGTAACTACTCAAAAAAAAATGCATTTTTTTTAAATACTTGAATCACTATAAATATGAATATAGTTGAAGTACCAGCAAAATGTAAATTACATAACTAATTCCATGCAGTTCGCTACACCCCAACACTGACAGTTGGCACAATCTACAGCCAGTGTTGAGGAATAACTAGTTACACTTAATTAAATTATAAAATAAATGTCATTATAATCAGTTACAGTTACTTAGAAAATGTGTAACTACATAACAGTTACTAATCAAAATGTTGGTGATTACAAAGACATCCATTCTCCATTCTATTTTGTAAAAAGAGTAAAACATAATAAATAATAAAATAAAACATTCAGTGTGTTGCCTGGCATCTTGTCGCAGTGTAGGGAAGTCGTCTTTTGGTATAGCCTGTTTGCAGACACTTTACGGCTTTGTTGCTCACTTTAAAGCACTTTTTAAAAATAATCAAAAACGTAATCAAATGTAAAAAAGTTACATGACTTAGATGTAGTCATTAAAATAGTTACATCACAGAGAAACTCATCTGAAACCTATTACATTTAAAAAGTAACCTCCCCAACACTGTCTATATATGAATACATAAAGGTCAGGGTTAATACAGCATCACAAGATGAGAGCAACAGCCCAGAGTGTGGTTTTTATACAGCGATGATTATTTTAAAAGTCAATATGGTCTAATAAAAAAATAGCTGACATTATTTTGATTTTTAGACTTTAGGAAAATTATGTTAAGTCAAGTCAAGCCTGGTGTTAGAATTTTTTTCTACCTGATCATCAAACATTTCAAATCTAATATTCAAATTGAACAGTAACTGCATGGATATTTTTATTAATTCAATTTTTTTTTTTGTTTTATTTTATGTCTGTCGCCCTTTTCAGAAGGTTTATTGCTTCTCCATTCAGTGTCTTGTTCCACAGTATTTTGTTGTATATTGTTGTAAATAAATAATCCTACATTAATGCTTAATACAAAATAAAAATGTCTCTTTATCAGTAGACATATTTCCTATTACTGGAGAAATTGGAAAAATAACAATGGGTATATTATTTCAATATTATATTTGTATGGCAGGTGTTGCTTTGTGCAGATTTATTGTGCATTTATCTTAATATGAAACGTGTTAACTACATGTGCAGCCTTATCACTCACTACCAATTATCCTAAATATATTTGATCTATAATTCATCGAGGCACACGTGCACAGATTTTTAGGACTAACTGCACATGGTGACAGACTGCAGCACATCGCCACGAGATCCCCACGTGCAGCACAAAGATGGGTTCATGGAGCTCCTTTCCCACTTCCTCGTCCTGGTTAAACCCCGCCCTGCTACTGTGATCACACATTAGTCCTCACGCTGTCATAATCCAGTGTTTATAAGTGTGCAGGCTGAATTATAAACCGATAGTGTGGCGTGTAATCTTTGAAGGGGGGTCGTGTCATTTGTTGTGTTTCATTATTACACAACAAATAAACACAAACAGCTTAGATGATGATACTTCACTTAGTCAGCTGCAACTGTATTTGGAGTTAAGCACAAGCAAACAAAGGCTAAGAGTTGTGATGCATGCACGATATATTTATGCATTTATTTATTTAATTTTAAAGATATGTTTACTTGGAGCAGGGAGCCATTGGAGGCGGCCCAACCCCCCTCCTGCCCTCGCCATTGACTCAGAGAAGAGGTGGACATGGGAGCCGTCTGCCTTCTGCTGCATTTGTTGTTTTACTTCACAATAGATATAATTTATTAACGCATTTAAGTCGACTTTAAATGCCGGCTGCAGTCAGTGTCCATATTTGTTTGGCTTATTCTGTGGCCAGCAGGTTTTGGTGGCCGGATGTTGAATATCTCACAAGTTTATAAGTGATGGCGTTCATTTATTTTGAAAAGTTGAGTCCAGAAAGACCACAAAATTAAAAAAAATAAAGATTATACAGCGTTGGTTTGCTCTGGGTTATTTATTAACAGTGCAAGCAATTAATTAGATTAATTTGCACATTATTATATTTGGTGTTGGCCGCCATTTTCCTGGAGAAACAAAGCCAGCCGACGTTGTTTTGCGGCGTCTTTCTGCAGCTGTAAACATAAATACGAGGTTATAGGTTCAGACTGTGCAGGTAAATGTTGACAGTGTCGCGAGGGGTGTAAACAAGTAAACGTGTATTGTTCCGTGCTGTAAAATAAGTTTTTATTATTTATTTATTTTTCCTCGGGGGGTGTTTGGGTCAAATCCCCAGACCACTGACACCATGATGAAACAACTGGCCGGTAAAGTCCTGCAGGGAGCGTGCGCATTGGCTCCTGGAGCTCTACCGCCATGGTGTTACGTCACAGCCCGAGAGCACGGATGTGTGTGTATGTGTGTGTGAGCGCGAGGGGCAGAGAGGAGAGTGTGTGTGTGTTTATATGTGTGTGTGTGTGTGTGTGTGTGTGTGTGTGAGGGTGAGAATGTGAATGCGGTCGAGAAAAGGTGGAAGAAGTGAAGGGAATAAGGAGGAAGGAGGACAAAGTGTCGGGTACGTACTCTCACGTGAGGAGTAACACATCCGAAACATCCTCGTGCAAACTTGCTGAGAGTTGACCGGCGCGCGGACAGAGCTCGAGGTGGGAACAAGCGTTAAAAAAGAGAGAGAGGAGGGATGGTGGTGGTGTTGGTGGTGGAGGACTCCCGCTTCTCTCGCGCTGGCGGCCCGGGAATCACGCGCCATTGAAGGGGGGTGATGTTGTGCATGCGCTTTGGCTTCCCTGTCGTGCACGCTCGGGTCGGTCGATGCGAGCACACTGGCGTGGCTCTCGGCCTCCATTTGCCAGTGTGTGTTTATGTTCGAGGGATTCACCGAGGCCGCTTCTTTTAACGGCGACGACGACGCGCAACAGTTGGAGTTTCCGCCGTGAACGCGGTCACCGTGGGGCCACGAGGGATTTAACCGACGTCGAGAAGGTGAGGCGACAGTGAAACCTGCAACTTTTCCAACTCTGCGAGTGGAGGAGCGGGGCGGCCTTCCTCGCTGCGGTGTGTGAGGAGGACAGAGCTGTTGTCAAACTACTTAAATCCTCCGCGTTGCTTTTTATTTTGAGTTTTAAAACACTCGCGTGGAGGGCAGTTTGGAGTTTGAGCGGTAAACACACCGGGGATCATTCATTTGATGCAGCCGTTTGACCGGTTAACACCTTTAGACTAACAGCATCTGTGTGATCCGTGAACTGACCCAGAGAGGGCAGGACAACAGGAACACAGGTTACTGCATGAGCTCGGTGTCTGCGGTCGATGGACATGATTTAATTAGCGCTGCAAAGGTAGAAACGTTTAATTAAGTGAGTGTTTTTAATGTGTGTTAAACATAAATCAGGCCTCTCTGAGCGTGTCAGCCATGTCCTCAGCTGGCAGGCTATTGGTCAGTCACACCAGAGAGGTCTAAAGTCCACTTCTCTCACACTGTGAACAGAAATTATATATTAAACTAAAAAAAAAAAAATACAAAGAAGTTACTACCTTGTGCCTTTTGTAATATTAGTCACGTGGTTGTTGCAAGCGATGCAAGCCAGACATATGTAGACATACTGGTTTTGGTGTTTTATTATTTATTTTATTAATTCTTAGCTGTTTCTCACCTGGTGTCTTTGTGGTTTTAAACTCTGGTCTAGATTTAATTTAACAGGTTTTATTCTGTGGTCTCATCTTAGTAGACTTATATTATTTAGTTGTTAGATATAGTTAATAAATATATGTTTTTGCACGTCCTTAAAGGAACAGTTTGTAAAATATAGGGGGATTTAGGGACATCTAGAGGTGAAGATTGCAGACTGCAACCAGCTCTGATTTCTCCTGGTTAAAATTCCTTCAGCGGAGGTTTTTACCGGGAGCTGAATTATCTGCATCCGTTACGTTATTAGCTTGTTTTGTTATTTTAATTACTGCTGCAAAGGCTGAAATGTTTAATGAAATGTAGGCTTTTAATGTTTCTTATCCATAAAATCCAGGCCCATCCGAGCATGTTGGCCATGTCCTCAGCTGGGTGATGTTATGCTGAAATTTCTCCTGGTTAGTATTCGTTATTATCTTCGTTATGAGCTTGTTCTCTGTCAGCGACGGAGATGACTTCATTAGCGTTGCAAAGGTAGAAACGTTTGACAAAATGTCTGTTTTTAATGCATCTTATCCGTAAAATCCAGGCCTATCAGAGAGTGTCAGTCATGTCGTAAATTTTGTAATATTAGGCAGTCAATCCATAGAGGTGTCGCAGCTCACTTCACTAAGACAAAGGCCCTGTTTAGACGACAACGGTTTCTCTAAAAACAGGAAAGTCTGTCCTTTGCGTATTAAAAAACTTCTGCGTTTTTATGACGACGTTATTGAAACGATGCCCGTTCACATGGAGCTGCAAAATCTAGTGGAAACGCTGCAGTATGCACGCCAGGCCAATGGGTGGCAGTGTAAATTTGCAAAGCAATGCCAAGGCATGGCGCCATGCGCCCATACTGAAGCGCCTTCCTCTACAACGCGGTAATTACAAACCAAAACAAAGAAGACACAATGGGGAAAGCATGCACAGATAACTTTGGATGGACGATGAGGTGGAGTTGCTACAGTAACAGATCTACACTTCAAATCAACAGGGTGAGCAGCACAATCAGAGCTCAGCATTTTTGTCGTGACGGTCGACTTTCTCGCGCATGCCAAGTGACTGGAACCGTAATGCGCATGTGCGAAAAGTCTCCGTTTTCAGAAGAACTGCATATTGCATTTACATGACAACAGAGACGCTGCTGTTTCCAAAAAACTGCACTCTGGAACCTGTTTTCAAAATGTTGCATTTTCAGACACCGAAAACGCCGCTGTCGTGTAAACCATCGGCCGAAACGCAACTAAAGTTTACCGTTTTCAGTTGAAACCATTGTCGTATAAACGGGACCAAAGTCCACTTTTCATTGCAAATAGAAATGACATATTACACTAAAAATACTCAGACGTTACCACCTTCGTGCCATTTGATTATGCTTTTATAATATTTATCACGTGTCATTTTGAGGGATGCAAGCCAGAGATGTGGAGACATATTGATTTTGGCATTTTATTGTTTGTTTTTATTGTCTTTATTGTTTATTTTCTTATGTCCTATAGCTTGTTTTCCACCTGGTGTCTGGGTATTTGTGGTTTCATTTAACATGTTTAATTCTGTGGTCTTATGTGCAAATGAGGGTATGTAACATCAGCTGGTTGCATGTTGTGTTTTTTATTCTGTTGTTGCAAATCAAGGTCTATGCAACATCATCACAACTAAATCATCCTCTTCTTAATGTGAAGCCACACTTGCACACGCTCAGTAAGAAAGCAGGCTTGTTATTACTTGGAGTGTTAGATATGGTTAATGAATACATGTTTGACACGTCCTTAAAGGAACAGTCACTGTGTGTGACATCAGAGAAAATCAATTTATTGTGTTGGTCCATGTAAAACCGGATTTTTAAAGTACACGTAAACATGTTAGCCTCAAAGTCAGACTAACACAACCAGATAATAAGATTGCTAGTCACATTCCTCCTGCATGTATACAGTCAGTCAGACCCAAACTGGCTGAGGCGCTGTGCACACACTGCACAGTTCCCACCCCGGGCATTGACCCAGAGCTTGATTAGCGTTAAATGCGTAACAAAAAAAGAAGCCAGTAACAACATGGCGAAATCTACATCCAGAGCTGTGACTTTTTGGACGGACCAAATGTACAGAGCTGTAAAGTTGTTCACCATGGTACCAGTTAGCTGCTAGCTAACCGTAGCTAACTTGTTTGTCGATTGTTTGGTCTAGGGATGGACCGATATGGATTTTTTAGGGCCGATGCCGATACCGATTTTGTTCCATCACCCTTAGCCGATGACCGATTATGGACTGCCGATTTTCTTGAGCTGATAGTTGGGGCCGATACTGCTTTTGCTCCCTCAATTTACATCAAAAAAATGACACAATGATAACAAATATTACAGGTCTCAAGTTTAAAATAAGAAACATTTATTGAACAGTAAAAAATACTAAAACAAGATGGAAAGTTGAGGTAGAACAGGTAGATCATTATTATTATTATTATTATTATTATTATCATACATTCAAATAAAAAAAAGAGTTCAGTGCTCTTAAATCTTCCAGTAATGTCTTTATAAAATAAACAAATATTTAAGCTGAAGCATAAATAAAACAACAACTACTGTACACAGTAGGATTCGCTGCATGTGCGCTGCAGGGTCTTCCGGCAACACAGAGCTGCCCGTGGATGCCTGTCTGTAAATCATGCCAGGGAAAAATAAATCTGCGAACCCACGCGCAGTAAAAAACTCAAATATCGGCCCGATATATCGGCCGGCCGATGTATCGTCTATCCTTAGTTTGGTCTGTGATGTAACAGATCAACCTGAAAAAGGTCCAGTATTAACGAACTGAAAGGGGGCATATCGGCACCTATTGTAGAAGAGTTGGACATACTTTGGTCAATAAATCAATTCCTCTCCTGTGCTTGTATACTGGGACAAGGACAGTAGTCCAATTACATGACTTAGTCGAGATTTAACCAGAGCTTATAACAGATATTTTCTCTGATAATTTAAGATCCAGACATTTTTACGGGGAGCCAAAGTATCCGCAGAGGTCTCCTCCTCTCCACAACAAATGGATTTGATGATTTAAACCACTGAAAACAACATGGTGCAACTTGGCAATCTCTATAGACAAAGACCTCCTCCCTATGTAGATATAAACAGCTGATTCTAAGTCAGTGAACACACAATGATTCTTATTTTTGGGGTATTATACACCAAAGAAAACACACTTATTATATTCCATTTGGTTCCATTCCAATAAATCCCCACGGCGCCCACTTCCTTGTCAAAGACCCTTGTAAAAAAGCCAAACAGTACACTAAAATACGAATCTGAAAACATTTCCGAATTAGACAATGCAGCAACAGAATCTTGGTTTATAATGCGTCATTCGATGGATTTTCACTGGCAAATGAGCAGGGAGATGTGTGCACTGGGAGGATGGAGGGAGGTTTAGCAGTTTACCCATCCTACCCACATTGTTTTAATACAAACCTGGTTTAAAATCGTTGAAGTATCTCTTTGACACAGGGAAACAAGTCACCAGCAGCTCATCAAAGTGCCACATGTGGCCCACGGTTGTAAATGCATTATAATGTCCCCATCAGCAGCTAATTCATTTCCCAGGAGTGCACAACCTATCCTAAAATTGCTCTGGTTTGAAGCAGTGGTTTGATTCCTATTTGAATTCCTGTCGGACACGATGAGCTGTTCTATGAATCATGCAGATCAGATATCTTGAAATTTGGCCTGGGTGCTCTATGGCTCACAAAACATTCACACAACCAGCAACATGAGAAACCAACGGCTGAATGTGCTTTAATTTTGTATGATATGAAAACAAGGCTTTGATCCGTTGACTGTAGTCGTATTATTTCTTCATTTCATTTCACATGTTGCACTTTACATTTAGACCATGTTTATAATCAGCAGCCAGTATATCCAGCATGTGTGCCAGCAGTCAGTGTCTCTATGAAGTGTTTGTGCCAAGATTATCTGAAAATATATATTTTCAGTGTTGTAATGGTAGCGTACGGCTAAATGTTCCAGTAAATGATAGCTGTTTTTGTTTCATCTGCTTGCATCACCTGTAATTGCTTTTAGCCCTTTTTTCACAGAGATCGAGTTATAGGGCTGCTACTAAGCCCATTCTTTATGCCATGATGTAACACATCAGCGTCGGCCTCTAATGTGACATATAAGCGCTTTCTAAACAATAACAATGGCCTTAACGTGTCAATAACCATCATATACTGCACAGAGGGTAAGGAGCTCCTGGACCTCATTGTTTTCCCAATTTGTGGACATTTATGGCTGCTGTTCTTATATGAGTTAGCTGCTAATTGCTAGTAGCTACTTTTTAAATCTCCCACAGTGGGTCGCACACATAACACGTCATCGGCTATGATCCCGCCCTGCAGACTGTCCTGTTGATACAGACACTGTTTTGGCGCTGTCACTACCTTTTGTGGGGGGTCAAAGGCAAGTCAGCTCTGTCCCCTTGCCTCTAACTATGTTTATTTAATCTAACTTGATTCTGTCAGCATGTGCAGTAGATCCAGATGTAAAAGCTTCTGTTTTTGTGATTTGTCTTGTCTGTTGTCAGAATGTTTCAGAAATTCTTCAGGTGTGTTTTGTGATAGAAAAGTTTGTTAATGGGTGTAGTTTCTTGACATGTGGTGTAGAACAGATTATCCCTGCTTTTGTGCAGAACATTTTGGAATTTGCTTTGCTCAGTCTTTAGCTGTAATTTTTTTTGGTAATTGTGACTCTTTCATTTCAGGCGTGTCTGTGTCTGCACAGCCACAAAAAAGGAGGGGAGTCTGCTGTGGGGGACTGCTACGATTGGGGAAACTATGATGATTGGTCAACATCGCAAGGTTGCACAGAATTCATGGGGGCTGCTTTAATTTGCAGGGATTGTTGGCAGTTACAACATCCAGGAGGGGCTGACTTATGTTTAGGTAATTAGCTCTGAATGCATATTGTACCTATGCTGTGTTATATAGTTAACATTATTATGTCATTTCTGTCAGGTATCAAATGAAGCGTGACAGCCACAGCAACTGGTGATGCCTACGACAGACTCCAATCTCACATCAATGGAGGACCCCCATGCACTGGAGGCTGAGGAGGGGAGCTCGACTAATGTCCCCTCCTCAGTTCCTCCCACTACTGTCCCCTCTTCTCCTCCTGAACCAACCACTACGAGACCTAACATCCCTAGCGAGACGGAGATTGAGAACAAAGCCGTCTCCATGGCAAGTAATGACTGTAGCTCAGCTCTCTCCTCACCTGCTGAAGCCAGCCCAGCCAAGCCTGCTGCAGCGTCACCTGTGGCCTTTGAAGGGAGTGTTGAAACAAGCCCAGCTACCTCACACATCACATCAGCATCAGACTCTCTAACATGTACAGGGACAAGCCTTGTCAACATACCAGAATCACTACCGTTTTTATCTGGGTTGCCATCTAAAACGTTTGGCGGTCCAAACCCGGAAAACGCTTTTCCTGCTGTGTTGACCTTCAAAGGTGTGAGTGTCACTCTGGAGAATAACAGTGTGTGGAAGCAGTTCAACAGCTGTGGAACTGAGATGATTCTCACTAAACAGGGCCGCCGCATGTTCCCGTACTGCAGGTATCGCCTGGCTGGCCTAGATCCTGAGCGGCAGTACAGTCTGGTCCTTTCCATTGTTCCGTCAGACCAGTACAGGTACCGCTGGAGCACGACTAAATGGGAGGTCAGTGGACGAGCAGAGCACCAGGCCCAGGGACTGATCCGGGCATTCTCACACCATTACTCCCCCTGCCAAGGCTCAGACTGGATGGGTAGCTTGGTGTCCTTTTACAAGCTCAAACTGACCAATAATGTCCAAGACCAGGATGGTCATATAACCCTGAACTCCATGCATCGCTACATTCCTAGACTACATGTGATACCTGTCCCAGATGGGGTCGCACCCACACCTGACCAGCCTGTGGTGGTGGGACCAGAGTGCATGACCTTCACTTTTCCACAAACTGAATTCATGGCTGTGACGACTTACCAGAACTTTCGGATCACGCAGCTGAAAATTAATCACAATCCGTTTGCAAAAGGCTTCAGGGAGGACGGGAACAACCCCCGTCTGAAGCGGGTCACTACAGACGGGCAAGTTCTGGTGAAGACAGACGCTCAGCCGTCTATTTTAAAACTCGCAGAGCTCAGTGAAAACAAGACAGAGGAAGCGTATAATCTGAGGTAAGTTTTATGGAGTTTTATGCATTTGTTCTGTACGCAACACATTAATTTACACCGAGGGCCTGCTTTATTAGCTTTATCTATAAAATCTAATGCAATCCAATATTGCATTGTAAAATCTCAAAATAAATCTCTAATAATTTACTGAACGCATCTCACAAATGTAATTAAAGGCAAACCAAGGAGAAACTTTTATGTTAATATAATATGTTAGTTGTTTTTCAAGTGTTCCACTCTAGATGTCATGTTTTATGTTGCCGTAAACATTTGGGCAAACTTGTCCCAATGTTTTTGATGTCCGTTCACATTTTTTTTCCTTTAATTTTGGTTATTGTAAATATATCTTATTTCATTGAGAGTGGCATTGAAAAAGTTTTGAATCCAACTCACCTTACGCCGTAGGAACCTTAAATAATGTCCCATTTGATCAATCCTGGGAAATGGCTGGTCTTTCATCAGTTAACCCTTTGAAACCTCAGCAATTTGGCTTGATTTTTTTCCAAAAACATGGGAAAAATGCAATGAGCAGCGAAAGAAGAAACGACAAAAAGAAGACATTAGTAAAAACAGAAAATAAAAGACAAGAAAAACAAACAAACAAACCAGGAAATGACCTGAAAAGAGTTGCTTAAAAATTATAATAACATACTTTTATAAACATGTTTTTCCCCTAAATTTTTTCTTTATTCTCTAGTTTAAAAAAAGAAAATTCCAAATCTTTTTTTGTTTCAATTTGTGGGACATCTCTTATCAAGTTGCTGAATGCCATTGTCCCCATGTTTTAGAGAGAAATCGCACTAACTTGCTCAGAGTTCAAAGGTTTAAATACTTGCGAAAGAAAAGTGATGTCACTCCAGGTTTACAGGGTTAAAGGAATACTCCACCCACGAAATGATCATGTGTATATCAATTACTGACCCTTTGTTGCATTGAATTTGTAAAGAAATACTTGTTTTTCTTGCATGCCTCTGTGGCGAACAAAGAATCCAGCATGTAGAAAATTGTAGGTGACTAAAAGGCATAAGGGGCCTGCGTTTCACAACTGCAAAGCTGAATCTAAATGTGTATAATCCAAGTCTCTGTTATCCAGTTGTATCTTTTTAGAGCTGCAGCTATCAATTAATTGTCAACTATTAAATTAATTACCTGCTAATTTGATATTTGATAAATCAGTTTGACTATTTTTTTCTTTTTTTGAGAAAAGAACTAAAAAAAATTCTGTTTCCAGCATCTTAAAAGTGCTGCGTTTAACTCTAGAGAAAGATAGTTGATTGTTGAGTCTCATTCCCAGGTCATCAAATACATGGATTTTGGGTTGGTAGTCAAAACGAACAACAAACTCAAAGTGTTGGTATTTGACTACTTGGGAATGAGACTCAACAATCAACTGTCTGTCTCCAGAATTACATACAGCACTTGAAGTGTGAATATTTTTTCTGTTTTCTTTACTCGTCTATGACAGTAAACTGAGTTGTGGGCAAAACAAGACATTTTAGGACGTCATCCTCGGCTTTGGGAAAAAACGGTCGACATTTTCCACAATTTTCTCACATTTTATAGAGCAAACAACTACTCAATTAATCGAGAAAATAATTGACATTAATGGTCAATGGAAATAATCGTTACTTGCAGCCCTGGTATGCTCAGTGCTTCCCAAACATGTATGTGTATTTTTACTAAAACTCCTCTGCATAGGGGTAGCACATCTGAGCAATCGCATGCGTTTGAACCTTGCATGTGCATTCCACTGAGCAGATTTCAAACACGCACTCTCCCAGGTATGCTACTCGTCTATGCATGAGACTGTTTATGCAGAAGTGCATGCAATAATGCAAGCACTGAGCATACAGCTGGATAAATGAGACGTGGATTACACTCCAAGATTGTAAATGGATGTTTTAATATGGTTTTGCTGTTGTAAAATGCGGATCCCTTTCACTCCGGTTTGTTAAGACTTTTCTCCATTCTTTGATTCTTCGTTCACCATGGAGTCATGTAAGAAAAGGAAAGTTTTCTTAGAAATTCAGTGTAACACGGGGTGATTAACTGATACACAGCTTCTCTTTATGTGGATGAAGTATTCCTTTAAACTGCTGGAATTATGCTTTTGTAATACCATTGCCACGTGCCGTACCATTAAAAGTGAATATGTTTTTATGAGATCATTGTTATCATTTTCACATTTTATTTAGTGTTAATAAACAGTACTCCCCTCTCCTGTCTGACAGTGTGAAGAATGACACCGTCCCTGCTTCTCCCTCAAACGAGCAAGAGACCAGACTGGTCCTGAAGCCCATAATGTCCTCCTCCTCCAACAACAGTGATCCATATGTCCCCTGTATAAGAGGCAAACATGCCCTCGGTGAGCTTGTGCTTGTTCAAAAACGTCCACTCGTGGAGCCAAAGGAAGAAGCTGATGCCGTCAGTAAAACCCCAAAGCTGGAGCAAGGCATTGAAACAACGCCTGAAGCAACATCCATGACTCCCACTTCCTCCACGTCTACCCCGGCATCATCACCCGGGTACCACAAGAGGAGGAAGAGGATTAACAGACGTTGGGGGCATTCTCGGGGAAGAGAGTGGAAAGCTGCGGCTGCCTCCCCCACGGTAGCCCACAGCCCATCATCAACTGTCGCTATGCAACCAGAGCTGGATGATGTAGAGGGCCTGCTGTTTGTGTCATTTACCTCAAAGGTAAAACACTACAAATTACAGCAAAATGATATCATGTCTCCAAAGGATTCTTTTTTCACTCAGTCTAGAAGCTGTGTCTCTGCATTCCTGAGACGGGGTTTGTTGTTGCATACCAGTGTGAGTGTTTTTGGTGCACAGTAATAAAAGTCCTGTAAAGTGTTTAAGCTTTAATTTTCTTCTGTGTGACAGGAAGCTCTTGAGGTTCACGCTGGGGAGCAGCCAGTCAGTAGCACACCATCAGCATCTCCAGTTTCCTTAACGACACCGGTGCAGTTGAAGGAAAAAGGTGAGCAATTTGAAGGCTGTCTTATGCCGGGATCACACTACATGATGACAGCCTGATTATAGCCTGACGCAGTGACGTACGGTGTTGGCATGGATCCTGAATGACAAAGAGTATCGCACGTGATAATCCGGTGTTTCATCTCATGTAGTGTGTCATAGTAGACAGCGTCTGGGATTCTCATGACGTTTGACGACTTTCTTTTGTCATGCATGACAACAACACCCAGCCTTTTAGATATTTCCTCTAGTGATGTTACCGTGCAGATTAAAAAGGAAAATCAAATGAAATGAATCAAATGTCACGCTCACAATCCTCTGAAAACCTCTCTGCTGTGTTTCAGTGGAGGTGATTCCAGAGACAGATGAGGAGAAGATAGCCTGCCTGGAGGCCGTCCTGCTGCAGGACCTCAGGGCTCTCAAACACAGACAGGTCATCCATCCTGTGCTGCAGGAGGGTGAGTTCATACAAGCACACATAAACATCCCAGTGGCTCAGTAGGTTATACAAAGTAATAAAAGTGTAAATATTTTTCTCTTGTTGACTCTTTTTTTGTCTCTTTTTCTAGTGGGCTTGAAGTTGAGCTCCCTCGACCTGACACAGTCCATCGACCTGCAGTATCTTGGTGTTTGTCTGCCGTTACCTCCTCCAAACATACCAGAACAAGGCAATACCACAGCTCAGTCTCCTGGTGGTAAGTCGATCTTTGACAGATTGTTTATTGAAGATACATTCTGGTCCTGAGGCATTTAATAAGCTCAGAAACAGAAAAGTTAAGTTTTCAGTGTAGCTCTGAACCAAATGATTTCTCACTTATACGTACATAAGGGGTGGACAATATGGCCTTAAAATAATGTCAGGATGTTTCAGGGATGTTTTGTGTAACAATATTCTTGACGATATGGCAGATTAGTAAAAAATATTTATAGATGTATTATGAATGTAAGAAAATAGAATTGTAACAAAATAAGTGATGTAGTTTTACAGTTTGGAGCCGATGCTGTGGGCACGCTGCCCCTTTAATATCCATAGATACATAAGGGGAATTTGATGATGACTCTCTGTGTTTATACCCAGTATTTCAGTTATTAAGATGTTATATCAAGAGTGGTTAAAGCTGCAGTAGGTAGAAAGCCTGAAAACAGTTGATTTTTGAATCTCATCTGAGTTAGGTTTCATTCGTCTCCGCCCTGAGCCCCTCCTACCAGACGAGCACACGAGTATTTTATCCTACTTGGTTCTATTTCTCCCTTTCTGGGAGCCTCGGCTCTCCCTCACCGCGCAGCAGCCCTCCCCATCCCTCCCTCGCGGACCCGCACATACTCCTGAGCCTCGGCTCTCGCTCTCCGCGGAGAGCCCTCGGCTCCGCTCCCACGGCCGACACTGTTCTGTCTTCCTTTGTTTTTTTGGGTTGTTTAGCCGTGTAGGCAGTTGTAGCCAATGCTGGAATAGCTATTTTACCTGGTGCACTGTTCGCCATTGCCGCTTGCTCTCCCCTTCTGCCAGCGGCACGGGAACGCGCATATGCAGTAGAACAGCCAATAGGAACGCATTGGTCTGAGCTGACCTTTGATTGGTTGATGCACATCAGCACGATACTGATTCTTTAGAAGCTGAACACAGAGCCATGGTGAGGTGCAGAAACCTATTGTTTGTCTCAGACCACTTGATTTACATTATGCTTAGAGCATATTATAAAATTTTTAATCAATTATACCAAAACAATGTTTCCTACTGAAGCTTTAAACATATTTACATATTTATATAACACATTTTCTCACCCTGTCTCTCTCTAAATTTAGACAGATTTCCAAGGTAGCCTGATGTCTTCAGTGGGATAAATTACAATAGGCTGAGTGATAATTACCTCCTCCTGCAAGACACATCTATAGTTTGTCAGTCAGGGGTGATTGGAGCCTTGTATGATCTCGAGTTGCAGGAAATGAAGTGAGGCTGGAAACAGGCTGTTGGTTTTAGCATATGGAGTAATAATGGTTTGCTGCTGGTGTTTCAAATATTTGGGCCAGGTATTACCATCGAACAGGTCAGAGGTGTCTAGCACTGTGCAGTTTTGGAACACCTCCTTTTTTTGCCCTTCACATTAGCGATGTGAGTTTCCTCCTCCTTATGATCATACATTAGAGGAATCTCCGTATACAGGGTGTTATTGAAGTGGCAATCTTGAAGACTTCAGTCCTGGTTGATTCACCAGCTCCTGTAGTTACTGGTGGTAGTAGGCGGCTTAATACCACAGGTCACAAAGTTCTGGGGGCAGCAACATAAACTATTAGGCCCGTTTCCACTGAAGAAGTTCCTGGTACTATTTGGGGGGCAGGAACTACTACAGGAACGTCCTCGCACTCGGCCCTCTCAACTGCCGTGTCTCCACTGAGAGAGCGGAGTACGAGGAAGGTTCCTGTAAAGTTACAGGCTGCCTCTGGATGTGACGTAATCGTTGCGCGACCATTTTGACTGGGGCGACGTAGGGATGTAGGGACGCCGTTAGCTGTTAGCGGTGTCTGTAATAACTCCGGTCACGGTCCGTGAAAAAAATATTTTTTCCAGTGGATGTCTTAGTTACAACATGATTGAGCTAACTGGAGTAGTTTCATGTCGTATCCGACAACGGGAGGCTTTTAACAGATGACGTCCTGATGTTAGCTTTGCTGCTGCTGTTAGCTGTCCCTGTCAGCTGATGCTTTCTAGACATCGTGATTTCCCAAAACTGAATATATACCACACATAACAACACAAAACTGCTTTGCTAGCTCAATCATGTTGTAACTAAGATATCCGCTGGAAAAAATATTTTTTTCACGGACCGTTTATTGAGTTATTACAGACACCGTTAACAACTAACGATTAGCCTAGCTAAACTACGATAGCCATGTTGTTATTTACAAAACGTCACATCCCGCCTTGAGTATATCCAATCAGCACCAAGTAATCCCCAAGCCCCAGCCAGGAGTTTCTCGGGGCCGTTCTGAGTAACTACTCCGAGGCAGGGACTTGTTAAGCCCCTGTAAAAATTCCGGAACTCTGTCCTTCGGGGGTGGTTCCTGCGGTGGAGACATGCACCAACGGCCCCAGCCCCATAAAATTACCCCGAAGTTCCTGCGGTGGAAACCGGCCTATTGTCTAGCAATAATCGTCTTTTTTTCATCATTCTGTGGGCAACTGTGATCTGATTTATTCTGCACACTTGATGAGTCTGCAGACAGCAGGGCGCAATAAAAGGAGTTGGTTACCTCGCTAAGTTGGAGTGTGCGGGCTGTCACCTGCAGCATTTTGTGTACTGTAAACTTTAGAGAACTAGCAATGACAAAACCCCCCTGCTGCGTCACTTCACAAAATGTTGCACATGAACACACCGCAAAGACTTTAACCAGCAGCCAACCAGCACGTACATTCTGCGCTTATGTGAGAGGAATACCATACCAGCAGATGGCGGTAGTCTGTATTCAAAAAGGGAAACCGGAAGACTGTCTTGACGCTAGTTAGCACATTAACAACACAATCTAATGTTTAAAGAACAGAGCATATTTATCATGCACCAGTGAACAATAACACAAACCATCATGAAACATTTCTGCTAAAGAGCTCAGTGGCTAAAGAAAAATGTTCTTACCTTTATGTAACAAGCTGGTTTTGATATCACTCCCTCTTGACTTTAGCTGTTTGTTTACTTTCCTCACTTCCATTTCTCTTCTCGTGCGCTGAGCTGAATCGCCAATCAGAGTGATTTCATTCTCCGACTAGCTCCACAGTCACTGACACAGAATCAACATGCTGATTTGGTGGGGGAAAAGCAGAAATAAAAACCTTCCCTATGATTACTATAACATTATGTGACTTCTCATACTTCCCTGGATTCTCCAGTGAAGTAGATTGACTGCATGCATAGATGCACTCATCATGGCGACCATATCTAGAGCAGTAATGCCATAGTTTCCCTATGATAAATGAAAATGTTGGTTTGTGTTTGCATCTTGTGGTACTTGTGAACTAAACCAGGTCACATTATTTTAACAGTTTTGCCATTTTCTGGCATTTCGTAGGGCCCGCATTCTAGATTTTTAATTACATTATCTAGGCCTGCTTTGCATCACAGATTGTGAGACAGTTTTTATTTCTGACCTGTTCTGATTTGACTAACTGTGTTTTAGTTACACCATCTCTGTTTCTTTTTCTGTGTCATTCACATCTTTTTCATCCCATTCATATTTACCTTGTTGAACCACTTTTTTGAAAGAGCAAGTCAGTGTGACAGGAGTGTTATTTTCAGAGGTGTCAGCACTGAGATCAAGTGAGAATTTATTTCCCAATAAACACGGAAAAAACACAGATAAACTGAAGCACAGGAAACAGTGGTCCAAATCTTGTTGATTAGTTGACAGCTGTTCTCTATTCTCTATATATATATATCTATTCAGGATTTTTATTTCTGTCAATGAACATACTGTTTGCTTAAATTAATGTGGTTTTCTCTCCAGCAACGAGAACAAAGTGGCAGTCAAATTTTAAGAATTTTGTGCATCTGCTGTAGCACTTAAACTCACATTATGAGTCATTGAATATAACTGTGCTGTGTCTGTTAACTGAAGGCTAACTCAGTTTGTTTCCTTCACAGATGAGGGATTATCCTTCATCTCCCGCACAGGAAAGACGAGTGACATGACAAAAATAAAGGGATGGAGAAACAAGTTCATAAGAAGCAAAGAACCGTCTCTTCCTAACTGCGATGGTAAGGTTCGCTCGTCTTGTTGTAGCTGCAGTGTCTCTTTTATCATGCAGTGGGATTATTATTGTCATTCTAATTACAGAAAGATTAACTGCACTGAAACAAGCCGAATGTCTTTGTGTCTTGATCATTATTCCTCATTGATAAAGTCTCTTAATTCTTCCTCTCCTGAAGGAGCACAAAAGAATCTGTCTGCCTTCTGCAGCAACATGTTGGATGAGTACTTGGAAAGCGAAGCTCAGAACATTAGTGAGCGCGCTGCTGCCTTCTCCACTCACTCAGAGGACTCAGTGGCCTATCAGCTGCCGGCTAAGAGCTCCAGCTATGTTAAGACCCTGGACAGCGCACTGAAGCATCGAGAAGCTGCTTCCAGACTCCCCGTGGAGGCCAACAAACCCTGCCCCCTTTCCTATAAACCTCTCCTCTACTCTGCTCTGATGTCACCGACTCCTCCTCTGGCCCGCCCTGTTCAAGACAGAGCTCCGTCTACACAGCAGTCTGCATCATCAGATGTGCAGCCAGGAGCACAGAGGTGAGGATGTGTTTGTAATGTCTTCATTTTTAGGGACTTTTTTTGGGGACACATAATTCAACATTTGATCCCATATTTCCAGTTTTGTGCACTTAATTTAGTTTTTTATTTAGTTCTGTATATTTTCAGTAAGCATGAATTTGCTGATAAGTTTTTCACTGAATCGTCCATCGTAATGTCCTGAGGTGACATTTTCAAGCCAAAGGGGATGTCTTCATGTTGCTTTTTTGTCCGAACAACAGTTCATACCCAAAGATTTTCCGATCATCGTGATGTAAGACAAGGAAAGAAGCAAATCTTCACACTGATAGTGATATTTTTGGTATTTTCCCCACACAGTAATTATTGAAAGAGTTGTCAGTTCATTCTCCAGATCAACTAATCTGTTAAGTGACTAATTGTTATTTTTCAGTGAACTCATGAGTCCTAATTTCTTGAATGAATCAGCCACAGCGTTGTTAAAATGTTGTTTCTTGGCTGATGACATGAATATGCAACAGTTGGGGACATTGGGGGCACAAACATATTTTTCATGGTTAGATTTCTGTCTCTGCTCACTGTGACGGAGTTAATGACTCATGAACGGTCCAGTGCACATCGGCAGGTCCACGTTTTAAATGTCTGTATCCTGTATTTTTATAAACTATGACCATCTGGTCATGGGTCACATTTTATGCTGTGTCCAGGTGCCGTCCCACTTCCTCTTCTCCTCCTTATACTTCTTGTTACAACTCAAGTTACATTCAGTAACTATATTTTAACAGTAGAATGTTACCAGCAGAAACACTGGGTGTTTTTGCAACTTCAGGATAGAAGACTGTGATTGTTAAAGCTATAGTAATCTCTGTTGCTCTGCAGTCAAAAAACACCTTGACTCGCTGTCCTGGGAGCAGCTTCAGTCTGCGTTCAACTTTGTCCATCAGCAGTACGGCAGCTTTCAGCGTAGATGACGTGTAGGTGACACGCAACCAATCAGATAAGCCCCGTTTCCACCAAACACTTTCGTTATAGCTAGGGATGCACCAAATATTCGGTAACTGAATATATTCGGCCGAATATTGCAAAAAAACCACACATTCGGTATTCGGTGGAATAAGTGAAAGCAAGGCCAAATAATGGCGGCGTGTTTTGATGATGCAATCAAACAGCGTACGGTGACAGGAATGTATTCCTGTCAAATACGGCGGCCATAGGCTTACCGGCGACGGAGAAGTCTGGCTTCAATAATGTCCTCTTCTTGGCGTCATGACTGCCCAAAAGTACCTGGACAGCCGAGCCGTGGCGGCACACAGGTATGTGACGTGTCAGAGGAGAAACGAGCCGTTCACATTTCTCTCTTTGTGGCAGGTAACGGTCCACAAACCTCACCGCACTTTAGGGACTGTTCTTTACTTATGAAGGGACTGCTCTTGGGGCTGGTGGCTGGTTGATTTTGATTTTATTTATTTATTTTATTTTGGTCCCCCCTATGTTAATCACCTATTGATGCTGTTTTTGGAGTATGAATAAGTCAATAAGTAATTTATTCCATTGAAATATCATTGATGTATTAGAGAGAAGTGATTTATCTTTTTATAAATGACAAAAGGCACTTCTAATTTTCGCTGTGGTATCGTGATACTACTCAGAACCATGATCTTTTCACTGGTTTCCTACCGTGGGATCCAATTTTGGTAAAAAACTAATGAAAAACGAAACAACGGTATTCAGTATTTGGTATTCGGCCAAGCGTTTAATTTTATTTGGCTTCGGCCACAAATTTTCATTTTGGTGCATCCCTAGTTATAGCACCATTAGAACCAAAGGTAACCCTTCAGACATGGTCCTAGAGCCTAGGTCCATTCAGTGTTTCCACCGCAAACAGTCCTCTTAAATGTGGGCGGGGTTGTTGTCACTCACTGCTCCGTCCAGCACTCACTGTATTCCTTCATTAGCGGTGACACAGATGGAAGTCTGCACCTGGTTTATCGTCCAGAGAATGAGGTTGTACACCGACATTATCAGAACAAAATAAAACAGGCTGCAGTGAGAGTCTCTCTCCATGGGATATTAACAAAATAGGAGGTTTGTGCATTTAGTCCTTCTCAGGCAAGCTCAGGTGTTTAGTGTTGCTGTAGCCCACAGGAACAACGCTCTGCTGCTCTCTAGAATATATGCAGTTCACATAATCCGCTCAGATTTGATATATATTTTTAAACGCTTGAAGATCCACTCATTACCAAAAGTGTACGTCGTCCAAGAGAGACAATAAACATCTGAGCCAAAGTAGCACATTTTTGAATTTATTTATTTTATTGGCCTGTTGGATTGCCTCAAATAAATCAGTATGTGTGAAACATAAATGACATACATATGTCACTTGTGAATGTTGTAAGTAGGGTTGCAGCAATATTACCGGTTTCAAGGTATATTGTGTTATTAAAATTGACGGTTATCATACTGTGTACATTTTCTTATCTGCGATACTGGAAAAAAAAAACAACTGGGCGGAGAATCACAACACACTAATCTGCTCAATCATTATGTCTCTCAGATTATATACAAACGATCCAGCGGCCAGCCAGAGACCAGCGGTGAGCTGTGGGCAGAACCAAGTGATGACACACAGACCTATGGGCTTCACTAAGTTCCAGTTCAAACTGTACCAGATGGAGATTGGAGCTCTGAACGAGGGCCTGAGCAAAACACAGCTGACTGAGGACAGGCTGAAAGTGGCTCTGTCTGTAATGCTGACAAAACAGGTAGGCAACACACACGGTTCATGTACAGTGTCATTTGATAATCATTTTAACTTTTATAACATAAAATGTAAATTGTGAACAGAATTGACGACAGTGCCTGGCAGTACACGCACATCTGTAATTGTTCTGATGACTCTCCTTTCCTTGTGATCAGATGCCGCCCAATCAGGCGTTGAAATTAGCCCAGTATCCAAGGCATAAATCCACAGTACCCGAATGTGGTCAGGAGTTCTGCACCCTGGGCTGCGTGTGTTCCAGTCTGCAGCATCCGAACAGAGGTCCTCTCCACTGCCGGCGGCCTGAATGCATGTTTGGCTGTGCCTGCTTCAAACGCAAGATCACCAAGCAGCTGAGCGCGGGGGAGAGTGAAGAAGAGATCCAACCTGTTTACTGTAAGATCAAGTTACTTTGATTTAATTTGTCTATGTTGTTCTTTTGATTCTGTTTAATCTGTATCTCTACAACCAGTACAGCTACACTGGATCACTGTATACTGTCATTAATAACATCATTAACCAGGACTGTAGCATATTATTTTAAGGTTTTACATTTTTACGACAGCCATACACAGATTTTTGGTCACAACCCTCAGAAATTCAGACGTGTTAACGCGATGCTTTTATTTCTCCGCAGCTGTGACTAATATGGAGCATGTGGTCCAGCCTGGCCCGGGCTCCCACGCTAATAAACTGTGGAACCACGACATTGATAATGAAGATCCAGAGCCACTCTTCGCCCCCGAACATGCTCCACTGTGGTTGCCAATGTCAAAGTCCCTAAAACGCGGCTGCATACCTCGTCCAACACAGCCGGTAAAATAAAATCTCTCTTACTGGATGTAAAACAGACTCCTTCAAGTCTTTGTACTTAAAAATGTTATTTACTTTTGTTTATTTTCATTATTTGCTTGTATAGTGTAAGAGCAGTAATAAATTTAGTCCCTTTTCTATTTGAAACTCAAATTAAAAATTATGATTGCAGATTCGAGAAGAGGACAAGGATCCAGTGTATAAATACCTGGAGAGCTTGATGACTTGTGCACGAGTAAGAGAGTTCAACAGCAAGCCTCCAGATGAAGTCACCATTGAGCCCAAGGTCCTTGACGCTCCTGCGACGACAACGACGACGACGACGACGACAACCGCCACTGATAGCCAGCCGAAAATGTACTACAGAAGTCTACTGACTGGTAAAAAAGCAGGTAAGGAATCTAAGAAGATGTGATAAGTACATTGACCTTTTGCTAAGCCACGCCCCTTTGTGATGGTCCATCAAGCTGTCAGAGTAAGCATGGGGTCCACACTGTAACTAACTGCACTCCCTGAAGAAATATGGAAACAGTGATTCCAGAGAGAAGCAGACAGAGGGGTCTACAGTCTGTGTTTGAAGGATATATCCAGGATGTCAAACTGAACAACATTCATCTGCAAACACTGTGATGACACACAGCTGGTTGAATATGAGCAAAGTTTCCCTGCTTCCCTTCACTGGTTCCTGTACAGCAGGGTCGCTCTTTGTTTCACTGTTATAATCATTACAAAGCAAAAGCAGCATGTGTATACATTCAGTAGGCTATATCTTCAGTAGCTAGCTAGCTAACCCTACACTTTTCAGGGTATGATTTTGGTTTTGGAACAGGGAAGAAACGTATCATCATTAATACACGACGTGCCCCAGGCACAACATTTAGCTCCAAATCCACAAAACCAGTCTGAAAATGAAGGAAATCTGAAACGATTGCAGGTTGTTGTTGGACCCTGATCTGAGCCGGCCCGATGCTACGTTATGATTAGCCAGTCAGCCTTCAACGGGCAGGACTTGGCGAGGGGTCAGTTCAGTTTGTGCTGCAACTGTTAGAATAGCTTCTGAGATCCTTAAATCAGACTGTACTCTTTTGGTTTTCCTTCTCCTGCCTTGATGACGTTCCCAAATGTGTGATGTTGAAGGTGTTCTGCTGTTTGTTTTGACGACAATCATTATGTCCCTCAGCAGAAAGAGCTGCTCAGACGACGACATCCAGTGAAAAGGAAGCAAAGAAGCAAATCGAGATACAGTCAGCGTGCCAGTGGAAGGTGGACCGCAAAAAAATCCTGGAAACTTTATGTCGACGACTGAAACACAACAGGCTGTGTCGGCGCTTCTACATAGGACCTTACCGCATCCGCCCCATCGCCAAGATCTTCATGCAGAAGCCCAGCGGCTCCATCGTCACCTTCAGGGTAGGTCTCTGAGGAGTGATGCATCTGTGTGTGGGGGAGGGCGGGGGGCTGGCTTGGTGTGGTTTGGTTTGGGCCAGCAGCCTTGCACAGCAGGGATTTGCATTTCCATTACAACAGAGCCGCCTGCTTGAAGGTGTGTCTTCAACTGGTGATGGCTTGTCTCGACTGATGACGTTTAAAAGCAGAGTGCTGCTCCATGGCTAGAGTGCTATATGTGTTCTTCCACAGCAGGGCAGGTAAAAAAAGTTTACCTGTTGGAGATGAGCTGTTTGCAGAGGTGCAGTAAGAGCCTGTTGTCTGCAGCTCTTCATCAACATCTCACTGTGGCTGTCTGCTTTAACTTTACTCCCTGCTATATTATTAGACTTGTCTTTATTGAAGAAAAGCTGCTGACAGAGTTCCGCTAAATCAGTGATAAACACAATTCATTTACTGTAGATTTGTCACAATAAAAGTCCCCTGTTAAACTTTTATTCTGAGGCAGCAAAATAAGGAAATGTTGAGTTTTTTCGAGCAGCAACTTCACACAACTTCTAATCCGGCTGATAGTGAACATGAAACAGTAAAATAAAGCAGATATCTAAAGTAAAAACAGGACGCAGGAGAGAAACTAAACTAAACCACAGAGATTTAGTTTGAAGCTACAGACGTGCTGAACACACAGACTTTTAAATTAACAAATAACATTATGTCGTATTTGCTGAAACTATTATCATTCCAAAAGAAGTACATGAAACAGTAAAAACATCATGTTCCCTTTGCTCCTCGTAGTGCTTCCAACTTGGCAGCCGGGTCAGATTTTCTCATTTTACAGCTTAACAGTCACTAGAATATGTTCTGAAAATATTTTAGGAGAGAAAAAGGCAATTGCAGTAACACAATCGGTACATATATTTGATCAGCGCTGTCTAGTTTGATGATTTGACCACAGTTCTCGAGCAGTGATTGACATGTTTGACAGCTGCTTTAGAGACTCCGAGGCAACTATACATGGTGCCATTTATGGAGTCAGTGCCCTCAGCTGCCGGCTGAGCCACTGCCATGTTGACAACCGTGTCCAGATAACTCATATGCTCTGAATTTCACATGGAGCCCCACTAAAATAAATTTCTGAATGCAGGACTTATAGTATTTCCACACTGTGGTATAACTACTTTTCCGTAATCACAAGATCCGTACTTCATTGTCTTTGCCTCCCACGTAGTAAGAATATTTAATTCCTTATTAGTATTTAAATGACCAGTTATGAAGGACAGCTGCTCCAAAACAGACCAGCCTCTTAATATTATAAGCATCAAGTTCAAATGTACTATTTGTTCTCATTTCATTACTATAATTAATAAAAATGACTCCACCCTCTTCCAGGTACAAATCAGTAAACCAGCAAAGGCCAGTGATGTTGATGAAGATGACTTTGACGACAGCGATGAGGAACAGCATGCTGGTAAAAACCGTGATGGGGACATCGATGCAGAAGAGGACGATTGCGAAAATGAAGAGTCAGATATGCAGTTTGGAGTCACACCCTTTTTGAGTGGAGTGTTACCTGCCGGCAGACTGACAGCCAGGACCAAACCTGCTGGCTGCCAGGCGTACGGACTCATACAGGTGAGACTCAAGGAGATGCCTTAACACTATCAGTATGGTTTTACCTGGGGTGAAAACCACACCTGGTAATACATGACTGACATACATGGCATTCATGATGTTAGGGGGTTGAGGGGGATCATGTACTCGGACATGCTTGCTGTAATGTATGAGAGTGATAGCTGTGTTTGCTTCTTTCCAGGTAAATGGCAAATCCTACAACCAGGCCCGGCTGATGCTGGGTAGCATGGGGTCTCTACATCCAGCCAACCGCCTTGCAGCATTTGTCACAGGCCGACTGCTTCCTCCCAGTGGCATTTCTCTTAAAAACTCTCGGACATCAGATGCTACAAACCAAATCCCCACTGTTAGTGCTCTGCGCGTAAAGGCTGCTGGCACAGTCGTCCCTCCAGTTATTGCTGCACAGAAAGTCACTGATCTGAAGACACCAGCACAACCACCAGGTAACACCGTCTCTCTCCCCTCCTGGACCGCAGCACAAGCACTTAAGTTTTAAACTGATTGCTTCACAAAGAAGGGAACGTAATCAGCTCGAGAGCCCTCCAACACTGACACACCTGCAGCTGCTGCAGAATATTGAAATCATCCAAGGAAATAAAATTACCTCAATGTGAGTAAGTGTGCTCAGAAATCACGTTTCTAGCAGATAAATAAAACCACGACTGTCAGTTTTGGAGGAGTTCTTTCAGTGTTATACTTAGAAGCCCAAATCTGGCATTTTCTTCAGTTGTTACCATTTTAAACACAGAGAATGAGAGGGAAGCAGCACTGCAGTTGTACCAGTAACCCTATTTTCCCATGTTTTTGTGTCTGTGTAAGTAAAGGGTTTTTGAAATTGGTCCAGTATTGAGTTGGAGCGCTGCAGCCGGCTGTTGCAAAACAGGCTGCAATGTAACAACTCAGGGCGTTAGGTGCCATCAATTTACAACCACAAAAAGTTCTTGTTTTTGCCACTGACAGGCTCAGGTTATTATTCTATGTGTCTGACAGCTTATTGAAAGATTCCTACAGTTATATAACTTTTTGTTTAAGAGTAAGATCCTTTTTGTTTAACCAGAAACAGCCCAGAAATTGGTGTTACTAATCCCACCAGACTCATTTTCTCATCATAAAACACCTTTCATTCAAAGTCGACAGAAACAAAATACAACTCTCAGAAACCATCTTTGTTTGTCTCTCCACTGTTCCAGCAATCAGCAGCTCTGGTTTGGTTGAAATAAACCATTAATTCACTCATTAAGACGTTAAAATATGCTGCCTCCATACACGCTAAAATCACTGTTATTTAAATCGAGTCTGGTGGGTTTGACGATAGCGATTTTGGGGCCGTTTCTGGTTAAAGAAAAAAGATATTACTCTTAAACAAAAAGGTCTATCTCTGTAGGGATCCTTTCCAAAATATTGTCAGACACTTAAGCGGGATTCATTCTTCTGCATCAAATCGATGCTTTAACCTACGCTGTAGCCTGACATGCAGCTCCCCACAAATGTAACTACTCGTTGCAGCAACGCAGACTTCATGTCTGTTTCTGTGAGCTGAAACCATTTCCCTCAGTGGAAACAAAGCTTTTATTTACTTTAATTTCACAGATAAGAAAAAATAAATTGTGAAGACAATAAAACCTCCACAAAAATAACATTTTAAGTCTAGTGTGTGATTTATCCTGGCTTCATATGAGCAGAGGAAATCTCTGCTAGCTGCTAGGCTAATTCATACAATGTAAAATGCCATAGGCTTGTGCTAATAACATTAGCATGTTGTATTTGTGGGGAAAATGTGTCCAGATAAAGACAAGTGTTTGTCTGTGAATGCTGCGAGGTATAGTGAAGCTGATTTGTGTACTTGTACTCGTCTAGTATTTTGAAGGTGTAACTGCAGAGTGACACAGACACACCACCACACAAGTATTAATGCTCACAACGGCGTAGGCTACGGCTGACGCACGAGCATAAATCCTGCTTTAGAATAATAATCTGTCACTGGCAAAAACAGGCACTTTTGGTGGACATACATTGACAGTGCACAAACGCCCTGAGTTGTTACATTGCAGCCTGTTCTACGGCTGCCATTTGCAGCGCTCTCACTCAGTTCCAGCCCAGTTTTAAAACTTGTTGTTCTCTTTAGTCACTTAGACACAAAAACATGGTAAATAGGGTCCAGGCTGAAAACTACTGAGGTTGCCCTTTAAGTGAAACATTGCTAATAGTTCTGAGTCACAATATTAGAGAATCAAAGGAAATGCCTTCATGTTTTTTATTTTCCTGGATTTGGTTTAAAAGATAAAAATTACTTTAATGCCTACAGATATAAAAAAAAAATCAGTCATAGGATAATTGTTGTTTTGTCTCACCACCCTGCCCTCCATTGTTTTGTGTGTTCAGCTCAGCTACTCCCGCCAGACATCAAGCGAAAGAGCTCCATCAACTTGGCGCAGCTGTTACAAAAGTCCATCAACCGTTTTGTTCCAGACCAGCGCAGTTCGGTCAACCCCTTGCAGAACAGCTCCACGCCCTCACCTGTCTCTCTCACCGTCTCACCATCACTGAAAAGCCCCAGCTTCTTAGAACAGAGTGGGACTTATTCATTCAGGATCTGCCCTCCAGCTAACCAGGGCACCAGAGGCCAGAACCTGCCAGGGGTGATCCTGCCTGGGGGCTTTACACTTATTCAACTCCCCAAGCCTGGAGCTGATGGAGTTGCATCAGAATCTGGGAATGCTACAGATATGGCTGCTGTGGACAAAGCCACACCACAAAAAGATGCTTTTTTAAATTTTGGCCACTTAGCAGCTCATCCTGATGCAAAGCGCCCTGGTTCGGACAACCTTACTGGAGCTAAGAAGCTATCAGTGGAGCCTGGACCCTCCTCTGAGCTGACATGTGATGAGAAGATGCCTTCAGATGATAGTCATTACACCACCAGCAAGAAGGTGGAGTCAAACCTAGACAACGCTTCAGAGGACTTGAACTTGAGCTCCGACTTCTCAGACTACTGTGGAGAGGGTGACGAAGACGTAAGTGTCGGGAATAAGAAATGTTTTCAGTTAAAGCTGAGGTGTGCAGTTTTCTGAAACGTTGCTGTGGCGCGTTTAACTTTCTGAAGGTCTCAGATATTCCAAAAATAATGAGCTTGAGAGAGACGCTGGCTTAATCATAGTGTTCATGACCTCAGACATTATGCTGCACAAATATAATCATTTCTAGTTCCTAAAAACCAAGATGGCGATGGCCAAAATGCTGAATTCAAAACTTCAAAACAGGCATCCGCAAACCACCGGGTGATGTCACGGTAGCTACGTTCATTACTTTTACAGTCTGGTTTATTGTCAGTCTCTCTTTTGACAAGTCTTTCTTTTGTGGGTTGCTTCGCAGTGTAGGCGGTTGTTTCTGGAATAGCAACTTCCCCCAATGACAGCAAAATAAAACTGCCTACCCCTGCTTTAACCTTGTTTTTTTTCCTAACTGTAATATAAAATGTAAAAAATAAATCTGCACATCTTCTCCTGGGATTGTTGTAATTGCAGTTATTGTTACAGCTCTAAAAACTGCATGCTGAATGTTGTTTTGTTCAGGACGAGGAAGTGGACATTGAGACCGTGGAAGAATGGAGACAAGGACAGGCCATCGCTCAGATGAGAGAAGCTGTCAGGATGACACTAAAAGATTCACGGTAATACACGTGAACACGTGTGCTTGTGAATGAAACAATAAACAGTTTGTGGACTTGCTTTTGAATGAATTTTGGCCCTCAATATTTTGTTCAATTCTTCTCTACCGTCAGTGATTCCAGTGATGGGTTTGGATCAGCGAGGGAACTCGACGGCCAGGTACGACCCTCTAAACCTCATCACCTTCTTTCAATAAACATAGAAAGTTTAATTGGTTTTACTTTGCATCAGTGTTACTTGTATTTATTAGAATCTTCGTTGTCTCCACTCCAGGATCAAATGGACGATGAACTCGATGAGCATAAGGATAATAAGAGGCGGAAGAACCACACGGCACTGGAGAGGCAAAGACGCACTGAGCAGCGGGTCCTCTTTGACAAACTCCAGACTATCCTTCAGAGTGACCCCAGGGCCCCTAGGCTCCGCCTCCTCTCACAGGTCAGTTCTACGCATCCGGCTTAGTCATATCATCACAAATATTTAAAGGCAAATATGATTGATCTTTTTCCAATGAGTCCAGCAGACTTGAAGTGTTTATGAAAGACTCCATTGCTCTTAACAAGCAGGCAGAAGGTGGGAATCTCCAGGCACCTCAAGATTTGATTCAGAGGGCAACAGTTCGATTATAAAAGATGTATCAAAATTTTTGATGTCCATACTAAGTGGCCCAAAGTGTGCCAAGAAAATCTCCCCCACACCATTACACCACCAGCAGCAGCCTGAAGCATTGATACAAGGAAGGATGGATCCATGCTTCCATCTGAATGTGGTTTTTCCAATCTTCTATTGTCCAGTTTTGGTGAGAAAACCAGTGTGAATTGTAGCCTCAGTTTCCTGTTGTTAGCTGACAGGAGTGGCACCTGGTGTGGTCTTCTGCTGCTGTAGCCCATCTGCTTCAAGGTTGGACAAGGTGTTGTTGCTTCAGAGATGATCTTCTGCACACCTTGGTTGGAACCAGTGCTTATTTGACTTCCTGTTGCCTTTCTATCATCTTGAACCAGTCTGGCCATTCTCCTCTGACCTCTGGCATCAACAAGACATTTTGGCTCACTGGATATTTTCTCTTTTTGGGACCATCCTCTGTAAACCCTAGAGATGGTTGTGCTGAAAATCCCAGTAAATACTCAGACCAGCCCGTCTGGCACCAACAACCATGCCACGTTCAAAGTCACTTAAATCACGCGTTCTTCCCCATTCTGATGCTCCATTTGAACTTCAGCAGCTCGTCTTGAACATATCTACGTGACTAAATGCACTGAGCTGTTGCCATGTGATTGGCTATTTGCGGGTGTAGTGTCCCTATTACACCGAAATACATTATGAAACATAACTCGCAATTGAAATGTTCTGCAGCCTTTTTATCTTAAAAATCTAACTGCAGTAATAACCTTATAGTCTACTGCCTGTATTAGAATAAGTACATTGGGGAGGCGGAGTCTGTTGTGTCATTATTAACGTCTTCAGCAGCCTCTCTGCTACCTGTTAGCTCCGGGGAAAGCCAAGACACTGAGCAGACCGGGTGCAGGGTTGTTGTTTTTTTGTTAATTGTTTAATGCTGCAGCGTTTGTTCAGTCAGTCTCATTTGTTAATGCTGCTGTTCGGTGCTCTGCTCCGTTAACGTTAGTGTCTGGGTGATGGAGTAGAAAATCTTCACGGTATACTTGACGCTGGTCTCACTAATATAGTTATTCAGACATTAAATCTGTGTCACCCGAATCCGCTTGTATGCATACATCATCGAGCCGCCATCCTCTTCAGTACTATATTGTACTATGTTATAAGTTTTTCAGAGATAGTCCATTCAGAGCTCGGTGTCATGGTCTTCATTCTGTTCTTTCTGTTGTGTTGTGTTTACAGGCTGTGAGAGAAATCCAAAATCTGGTTGAGACCTCCAGACATCTGGAGGAGAGGAAGAAGAGGCTGACTCAGATGCAGTCTCTCTATGTGATGCAGCTCTCCCGTCTGTCTGGTAGGTACAGTCTGTGTGGCTGCATGTTGTTACAGTTTGTACTTTGTCTCACTTTGTGCTGATTTATGTCCTGTTCACTGTAGAGAGTTAGTTTGAAGGTTGTTATAACGCACAAAGCTGGAACATTTTGATCATGGTTAGGTTGCCTGATTGCCACCAAATCTACTGTAAGTCACTCGATCTGTTTGAATCAAGAACAATGAGCAGCATAACGCAGTTGCTCCTATAAACATCAGCAATTTCCATTGCTCATGCCTGGATGAACCGTAGATTGTGTGTAATTACTTTTCTGATGCTGTAAAAGGGGAGTGTGATATCATGATCGACAGCTGTCGGTGTGCTCGTGATCAGTGGCGCTGCTGGCTATTGGTTGCATGGGTGTATGAGCGGGAACTTAATACTGCAGAGATCTGTACTGCACAGACTGCACAGAGATTTTTAAAATACCATAATTAAGATAAAACATGTAAGTGTTTAAATTAATATTCTACAGCAGAGATAAAGAGCTTAGTGCCATAAAAGTTTATTTAGCCTACCTTTTTGTTTTGTTATGTATAATCCAGAAATATTTTCTCCCTAAACGTCATGTGATTGTGAAAATACTACTTACATTTGTTCAAATTGCACAACAACATTAGAGAGTGCCAAAATTATCACAGTACCATGAAACGTCCTCAGTCTGCTGAGGGTTAATGGCACACACCTGGGGACACTCGGTAGCCTGTTACAGTGTGTGTTCACTGAATGCTAGGAAGGACTCTTGCCTTGCCTCTTGACTTTGAGAAACACCATCTGGCTCAAATGACATGACCAGCGCAAGAATAGCCGGGATAGTCTGGCTTTATTCATGTACAGTGGGAGGAAGTGGAGATATGTTGTTCATCTTAATGTACAGTCTGTGTTGTGATAGCAACATGATAGCATGTACAGTATGTCGCTACCTTTACTAAAATTTGTGTCATATGAAATTTTACTGTTCTAGGGAAGTCGGAATTGGTGATCAGACACAAACTGAACGAGATCTGCGACAGGCAGAAGATGAGAGAGAAGACCATGAAATGGCAGCCTTTCTTCTCAAACCTACTCCAGTCCAGAGCAGCTTTTCTGCAAGCCACTATGCCCCAGTCCAAGCTCCAGTCCACGCAACTATCACAGTCTGACTTCAACTTGGCTTCATCCCAGGCTAACGCAGTCACACAAGCAGTCCAAAAGAAGATTATGTCCCTGCTTCAAACCAACCTACAGAGGACTCCAGCCCCATCCAGTGTACGCACACCTATACCTCCAACATTTTCCTCTCCAGCCCAGGTTGAGGTCACTGCACCTCCACTACAAGGCGGTCAACCTCCGACAAATGTATCTCCTGTTGAGGGCCAACAGGCGATACCTGCTGCTCCAGCCCAGAGCTCAATCGCAGCTCCTGTCCGCCCTCCACAGCCCTTTGCTCTTCCTCTGATTCGCTCCAAGACCGGCAGAATTATACTTCCATCATCTCTGAAACCAAGTGAGTTAAGAACTCCTGCTGTGGCCACAATTCAAAGGTTCAGTGTGTAGGATTTAGGGGGATATATTGGCAGAAATGGAATATAATAAGTGTTTATTTTAGTGTATAATCACCTGAAAATAAGACTTGATGTGTCGACCTTTTTGTTTCTACAGTAGCCCAGAATAGACAAACCAAACTCTGGCTCTAGATGGGACCATTCTAGTTTTCATGTCAGCCACAGTGTCGGGAAAAACACAGATTTTTCTTTTTTATTCCAACTCTTTTTATCTGGTGCAATTTGTTTTCACACCCTCGTAAGGAGGTTCTTCAACCTTCACAAGGGCAGAATAGGCAGGAGCCAGTGTTTGCTTCCAATTTGATAATATCAATCTGTGTGCAAGTAGGGTTACAAATAATATATCATGTTGGGAGCTGGTTAACACGATATCAGGACCTTAAATACTAAAGAGTGTGGTCAGTGGCTCAGGATGAGTTGTGACTCTTGAACATATGAGCTTGTGAGGCTGGTGATTACCCACAACACTAATATTTGAATACATTTTAAAAACACTGGCTTTTAATGTGAAACTGCTTTATTCAATATTTCTACCAGTTTAAATCACTTAGGTCCATTTGTCTTGAGGAGGAAGATACCTTTGCGGAAAATTCGTCTTCCATTAAAAACCTCTTGAACGTCTGAATCTGAAGTTAGGAGAGAAAAAAGGTGAGCACATATTAGCAGGTGCTAGGCTAGTGGCCTGTTGGCGAGGCACCAAACGGTGTCAGAGAAATACTAATTTGCAGAGTGAAACTGCTTTAATCAGTGTTTTTATGAGTTTAAATCACCAAGTCCGTTTACTTTGGAGAGGAAGAAACCTCTGTGGATAATTTGGCTCCTGTTAAAAACCTCCTGAACAATGAACACTGAAGGAAGTTGCAATCTGCAGTCCTCACCACTAGATGCCACTAAATCCTACACATTGTTCCTTTAATCTCTCAGTCGAGTTATCTTCATTTAAATGTGTTGTTATATTCTTAAATGTGTATTCTCCGCTTCTCTACAGTTGGTAACGGCCTCTATACACTCACTGTTATGGAACCCAAGCGGAAAGGAGGGGAGGGTAAGGTTATTGCTTCACCTGTTACACAGCCCTCTGAGGTGGACAAGCTCAAGAACTCCTCTGACCAACCTTTGGATTCAGAAAGCTGTCGTTCTTCTAAGGAGGATGAAACGGTACAGTCCTCAAACTCTAAACCAAAGCGTTCAAGTGCTAGCCCCCTGGTTAATCTCGCCCTTCTTAACAAATCAATCTTTGTGCCTTCGGTGTCTCCGCAAGCTGCGGAGAGCAGCAACGAGGGGGGCGCACCGGTGGGTGTGAACAAAACACCAGCAGCTCTCTGCTTGAGTTTCAAGGAGGTGAAACAGGTTCCTACTCCTGCTCAGCCTGAACCCAGCCCTCCTGTAGTCCGCCGTCCCAGAGGTAGGCCTCGAAAGCACCCCGTTAACCCTGTTGATGAGAATGAAACAAATAATATGGGAGAAGACGCCAGTAAAAGTGTCAGTGAAAGTGAAACATCTGTTCTGATTGAAGAGAAGCAAGAAATTACTTCAGAGTTACCCAAAACGTCAAAGGAGGGCTCCCCAGCAATGGTTAGTGATACTCCTGTGCCAGTCAAACGAGGCAGAGGAAGGCCTCCGAAGAAGAAGTCTGAACTGCTATGGAGTCCTCCAGGTGTGCGAGCAGGAAGTCCATCTAAATCCAGCGAGGACAGCCCTGTCAGATTTTCTATCAGTTTTAAAAGCCCTGATACTGGACCCAGACAGGGGCCTCTGGGAGATATCAACACATCACGGCCATTAACACGAGGGGCTTTAGGAAAGGACTTCCCGAGTGCCAAGAAACGCTCCTGGATAGACGTAGAAAAAGAACTGGAACTGGAACCAGACGTTGAGTCTGAATAGTCATATCTTCCCGTAGCTGCAAAAACCAATGCACACAGTCATTTGACCTCAGTAAAGCGTGATTTATGGTTGGGTGCTCGACACTTTTGAAGTGTCCCTCGAAAGAAATTAAAGAGCAGTATATGTGTTTTTAACTTATATACCATATAGCTATTGATTGATCAGCTCCCATTCTGTCTGTGAGCGGCAGATTCCCCATACTCAACATAGTGAGCTGGGAAATAAAAATCAGTGAATCAGTGAAAGCGCTGAGATGGCGCTATAGAGCCGCTACAAAGTCCCTCCTTTACACCACAAAACAACAGCGGCATCATTCCACTCCAGTGTGTGATTTTAGACAGTCTGCCAGCATCGTGGACTCAAAAGAGGCATGAGTAGCGTGACGTGAAACACAACAGCGTCTGCCGCTACTGTGACATATAACATATGTGTCTGCAGCACTTTATAAACAATAACAACGGCATAACATGACAACAACAGTCATTCACCGTCCCTGTTACATGGCGGTTGATCTCGTCCTCTGCTCGGAGGGGAAGGAGCTCCCAGACCTCATTGTTTTCCCAATTGGCGAACATTTATGGCCACTGTTCTTTTTTGAGTTAGCTGCTAACTGCTATCAGCTACTTATATATCAGCCCATGATCCTGTCCTGCCAGCTGTCCCCTTTCTACAGACATCTTTTTGATGCTGTCACTACTTCCGATGCCAGCTTAAAGGCGAGACAACTCTGTCCCCCCATTCCATGATTGTACTTTTTATACAGAACGGCGAGATGGATGTGAAATTCCCTCCTTGAAGAGGCAGTGCAAAAGAGGCTACTGGAAGTAAATATCTGCTGTCAGTCAGCCTGGTTAGCCCAGTTCAGACCAAAGATTCACAACAAGACAAGTTAAAAACATGCAACCACTTGCAATGTACCATTCTGCAATGTTCTAAAGACCTGCCGCAGCAAGCCAACACGCCGTCTGCGGTCATTTTGACTTCACCAGCGGACTTCGCTACGACCCAAATAGCTGTAGAAACAGGCGACCTGCTCTGCATTCTAAAACCAGCCGTCAGCAATTTGACCAGCTGAATTGCAGGTGACACGAACAGCCGGCTTGAGTCGAGGTCAGACGGCCACTTCACACAGCTGCAACTTTTGTCTGCAACATTCTGAAACGGTTTGGTCTCGTTGCGAATCTTTGGTTTGAACTGGGCTTTAAAGGCAGTTTGACCAGCCGCTGTCGTCTCTGACATACAGAGACACTGAATGCAGGTCAGAGTTGGTGTGGAATTAAAACTACTGTCTCCATAGTGACAATAGTAACACACCCAATCAGACTGTGACAAAATATGGCGTCCACGACTTAATAAAGTTCTCCAGGTGCGTGACGTCATGGCAAAGTGTAGACAAAATTTCATTCATGTCATTTCTGTCGAGCGACACTCATCCAAAGTGCCGAATGCCTGACCATAAATCCAGCTTACGTCTCAAGAGCTGGATGCTGCTCTTTTCTGTATCCTCACACAAACCTCAGTGGACTGTTTTCATACTGTAGAGAGAAGCTGTTTTTGGTATAAAGAATATAAGAGGAAGCATTAATCGACCTGCTGACTGTATGAATGAAATTATTGATAACTCCCACATTCAGTTTTGACGTCATGTTTTCTGAGACTAATTTCTGTCACCTATGTTGTTTATATTGAGATGTATTCAGATCATGTGTTCTGTTGAAGTCATTTATGTCTGATCTGTTTTATGCAAATGAAAATAAAACTCTACAGATTACGTAATTCCAGTTTGTTAAGCCTTACAGTGTATCTGTATCCTGTATAAGGTCAGACAACACACTGCTTCCTTAACTCTGTATGTTAACTTACGTGTTTCCGTTTTTATCGACAGCTAGTTTGATGCATATCTGTCCTGAAATTATTGTTTTCCGTTATTAACTCAGTGAAAATCATCTGTAGTAGCACTTTATGTTTTTGGTAGACACCACCCATGACGTCCGTCTTTGCTGTAGTCTGTAAAGTAGCAGTAGTGATTTGTGTTCTGGGTTGTTCACTCAGCGATATGCATTTAAACCTGATGTGTTACAAACAGTCGAGATAAAAGCTATTAGCCATATAATGTACGTATGAGAGTAACCTGTAAATATTGTATTTCTTTTTTTAATTGCAGTACATTTTCTTTGTGGGTGTGATTTTTGAAACACTGGTTGTCCTGTTGCTTCAGTTGAATTAAAAATGTAAAAGAAATAATGTGGCCTTTAAAATCAATAAAACGTCATGTGTTTATGAATGGACTCTTCGGTCAGTCAAAAACAAGGCATTTTGTATTGTATTGTTTCTGGGACCTAATTTAGCTGTTTAAAGCTGTTTTAGTTGTTTTAAAAAGACAGAGTTTAACTTATTTTATATTAAAGTTTTCTGTTTATTTCAAGTTTAAGTTAATTTGAGGCAGCCCTGTTTGTCTTTATACATCCATGGAGGAAGCGACTTTGTATTTCCTAGGATAGTGAAGGCATGACCCACTCTGCTTTGCCTTACTCTGCCTCTGATTGGCTTACGCTGACTTTTTTTTTTTTTTTTTAAAGGTCATTTTTGGGGCGTTTTTGCCTTTATTGATAGGACAGATGTAGACAGACAGGAAAGGGCTGTGCATCACAGTCGAACTCGAGCCACTGCAAAGGACTCTTGCCTATGTGGCGCCCACACACACACAGTCATACTCCTAACCCTAACCAATCTTTTCTGAACCATATCTCCTGAATTTAGAAAAACACTAGCAGATGTTTTTCTGCTAATAATAATCTTGTTAATTCAAAATAAATAAATACATTTTATAAAAAAGGCTTTTCCCCCAGTTTGAACACATTTCACTCATAAATATGGCACTTGAGTAGCACAGAGAACTAAAAACAAAATAAGAGAAAATACTTAAGAAGAGAATGTTACTTTAAAAAAGAAATAGGCTTTTTTGGGTGAATGCATTACACTCTAATAAATATGAATATATTTTCCTTGCCCTCAATTTGCAGTTTGCACAGCAATGCAATGATCATATGCAAACCATATATTGTAAAAATTATAAAAACACCAACAGATTTTTTTTTCTGCTGATCTGATCTTGTTAATTCTGAACAAATTAATAAAAACAAAAAAAGTTTTTAAATCAGGCATCGTTAAAGGCATTACACTCGGATAAATAGCCAGGGTAAAAAAGAGAGAAAATTACTTAAAAATAACTTCAAATTTAAAAAAAGGCATTGTTTTCCTGGAGTGAATACATTACACACTAATAACTAGCCACACTTTAAATAACTTACACTTCAGTAGCACAGGGAACTAAAAAAAAATATATTTTTTAAATTATTTGTTATCTAAAGAAGAGAAAATAAGTTTAAATTACTTTTTAAAAAGGCTGTTTGTGGAGTAATAAATAGCCTATCTCTAAATAAACATGGCACTTGAACAGCACAGAGACCTGAAAAAGAAAATGACTTTAACTGCAGCAAATCTACATATAAAAGAACAAATGGAGCTTTATACATATGAAAGAGGAGTTTTATCGTCCAATCAGCAGCAGGCAAACACAGAGCACCCAAACATCCGGCATGCAGCTTTCAAAGTGCCCCCAGTCTCTGTGTGTAATCCTATTAAATCAATTAGGTACAACAGCAACAGAAGCAATCATTGATGTAATCACGAGACCAGTGCAGGTTGAGATTAATCTAGTGATGTCATGCAGGCAAACAGCTGAGCAGCCCTCTTCCTCTTCCTCCCTGTCGGAGCGTTGAGACAAGGCGACATCAGTCCAGAAGTGTTGGGAAGCTGCAGGAGAAGCTGCAGGAGAAGCTGCAGGAGAAGCTGCTGATGTGAAGCGACAGACAGGCGGCAGAAGACAGCAGAGGACAACAGTAAAGCCACTCAAGAGATTAGCGTCCACATGTCCCGGCAGCAGGGACACTGTCCGGCTCTGTAAACCTCTACAGTGCGTGTGTGGTGGGAGGATCATCACAGGCTGCTCATTCACTTCCTCAGCCCCTGCCTGCACACACACACTCACACACACACACACACTCACACACACTCGGCTGGTGGCTTGTCACAGTGGATGCTCAGCACTTCTTCGCCGGGCTGCAGACACAATGCCAGGCGATGGCTTCACCATTAAAAGTCGCATCAGGAATTTGTTGCGTTCTCCGTCAGCCAGGCACAAGAAGAACAGGAAGGAGAGTCTCAGCAGCAAGGTATTTATTTATCCACATACAGTCCCTTACCTTGTTTTGAAGTGCAACAGGTTTAGTGTCAGGCAATGTTTCCCTTTGCAGTGTAGTAGAAACCCATCAGAGATATTTTTGCAGCGACTACTGATCCAAACATTTAGAAAATACATGACCAACAGCAGACTGAGCAACTGAGCAACTGGAAAGTCACTCTGAAGTGCAACTAAAGAGGAAAAGGCTCCACTCGCTAATAAGCAGTGTTAGGAGGGTTACTTTTATAATTCAAAAATGCAATGTAACTACTGTAATTGTTTAATCAAGGTAGAGTCACTTATTTCATTTGATAACTTTTTGATTACTTTTCAAACACATGTACACTCTAAAAGATAATCTACTAGTTCAACTTAAAAAAAAATGAAGGTATCAATTTGCATCTTTTTAAGTAGTTCCAACTCTGGCGTCATTAAGTTTTTTATAATCTGACAAATCCAATTAGTTTAGTTCAACCATTATGATTTGCTTTGACCTCAAACACTTAATTAAGTTTAACCAACTTGATATTTATCCAAAAGTCGTGTTGATACTTAGTGGTCAAATTATTTTATTTAAGATATTCTACCTTGTTTATTTCACACAAAAATGTCAACTGCAACTTGTCAACTGAATAAAACATGTTAATGAAACAACATAATTTTTTTAATCGCTGTCCAATAACCCTATAAATCATTTTTTTAGACTGTATTAAACCTCATAAAGCTAAAACGCCCTTAAACATACATTTAAAGCAGGCAGTGTAAACACAACAGTACTCATCTCTGATTACTGTCAAACTTTTATTAAAAGTTCTTCAATATAATGTAGAATATAGAATGTTATAATCTACATATAAGACTTTTACCAAAAAAGATTTTAACCTCTTTGTAATCACAAACATTTTGATCAGCAGCTGTGATTTAATTCCATATTTTTCCTCAGTATCTGATTAAATTTGTTTTGTAATTTAATTACTGTTACATGTAACTAGTTACTTTCCAGCAATGCTAATAAGACACCTCTTTATAAAGGTATACAAGTTGCAACTAATGGCTTCATTAATGTTAATAAATAATTTACTAAATCTTCATAGATTAGCCATTAGTGATGACGTGAAAAATTCCTTTGAGCGATTGGACTGTTGGAACCAAAAATCTGTTATTTAGGGTTCATTAACAGATAACTAACATTTATAACTCCATTATTACCAAATGAAAATGTAAACACCAGCGAAATGTGTTTTCCAAAGGAAGGGACGGATGTGACGTTTTGATGACTACCAAAGGAAAATTTAAACAGTGGCTGGTGTTAGTTAGCAGCTAACTCAAAGAAGAACAGCAGCTGAAAATGTCTGCAAAGTGAGGAGACAATGAGGGCCTAAACCTAAAACTTATTCTTCTGAATTGTTTTATAACTTATAAAACAAATCTGGGCGCAGATAGCTCAGCTGGTGGAGCGTGTGTCTTGTGTATTTTAGTTCTTCTTTATTTGTTTATTTATTTTAGAGGAGCCGTGCACAACACAGCTGTTGAGCCAGAGTTAGCGAGGTAGCTAATTTGCATTTGTAGTCCTCGGGTAAGGAATAATTCAAAGACTACACTGTACAACACAAAGAATAAACAGTTTACACATTTTCAAACGCTGCATCACATATAAAATGTTGGCTGAGTCCTTAGCGGTCTGAATTTTGATCCAGACAACGACCATTTGCTACATGTCTTCCCCTCTCTTCATCGCCCATCTCTGTTTATCTATCCTCTTTTATAAAGGCAAAAACAAACAGACAAACAAACAAAAATTGATTTACTAGCCATTAATAAAGACGTCGGCTCCAACTTAACCTTTAAGAAAAAAGGGTATTTTCAGGAGGTGATTCTCAGGAAATAATAAACTTTAATAGAGTGTGACTAGTGAAGCTCACAAAGTTTGATTGTGCTGTTTATTATTTGCTGTTGTCATCAGACATGTGTGTCAGTAGGACGCCACAGACTCAGGTCCATTCATGTCACTGCAGACTAATGAATGACAGCTGCGTTATAATTCCTAAGACAGACAGACAGACAGCATGAGTTGCCAAACACTCTGTCACGTATTGTGTTTGATAATTAGGTTAAACCTGATCTTTGACATCTCACATCCCACATACAGACACTGTGTTCCTGTCTCAGCTGCTGTCTCTCTCCCCCACCGTCACGCTTCTACTGTCCTGTCAGTTAAAGCCAAAAAAAAGGTCTTTAAAAAAAAAAATGACCATACTTTATCCTGACTTTATTTATTAACTTTAACCTTTAATATTAAAACATCATAAACATGTCAGTGATAATATAAAGACATATTAAACTAATTTTAGTGAGTAAGTGCACTTATGCCCGTGTTGGCCCCAAACAGTTCAGTGTGTTCAGTGTTAAGTTTTTGATCAATACCTGTCAAAATGTCACTAACGCCCCTCTAGTCCTCACACCTCGAAATAGCAACTCCATTATTTATAATATATTTTGGTTTCAAGCTCCTCTGGAGGAAATGACCCCTTGTGACATGTGAATCTTGTCAGCACAAGACACAGCAGTTTATTTTTGTGTCCTAAATGAAAGTCAGTGTTTCGGAGACAAAACCGCAGTGCTCCTTTAACTAAGGGACTGTTTGTTATTAATGATGGAGGGAGGGGTGGTGCTGAAAGGTGGAGGCTTTTCTGAAGTAGTCAGAATCCTGCGCTTGGGCAGTGACTTGCGGCGTCAGAAACCAATGACAAAAGGCGTCTTTTAACATCGGCATGATATGTGGCTGGTTGCCTTTATAGTTTAACAGCACCTGGCATTGTCAGGGAAACGCGGCGGGACAAGGACGAAAGTTAAGGTGGCGAAAGTCCTGGGCGGGTGGGAGCTGTGGTGGATGGGTCTAACAAACACCGGTGTTCGCGTCCCGTAAGATTCTTAAGCCAAACCCTGTTCTTTTTCCCTAAACCTAACCGCGTGTTTTTGTTGTTGAAGGAAAAAAACACCAATCCGTGGTGTTGTACCAACGTAGTCCGCTCTGTATGTAAAGGTTAAATTTCTTGTGAAAACGGAAGTGTTTCTTGAAAGAAGACAATGCATGTAACAGGCAGAACATGACACGGTGTCCCAGAACGACAACAACCAACAACCATTGTACCTTGCACGTCGTATGTGGACGTGGAAAGTCCATGACCAAACGTCCAAACCGCTGATTTTTTAAGAAACTATGCACAGGTTTGGAAGGCATGTTTTCATTAATAATCCCCAAAATTAGAACACTTATTGTAAAAATAGAAATTACTTTTGGATTTTCAAATTTCCGATGGTCTTTGGATACATCATGAGTGACGAACGCTACTATCAGAAATAAAAACTTAACCAAATCTGAGCTTAGAATAGTGATATTTCATCAAAATCACTTCATGTCTCATTTAAAATTTGTCCAAAAATAAATTGTTTGCACGAACTAACCACTGTAGGAAAAAGCTAGTTTTTTCCCCAACACCAGGATTTCGTCTCCAACTTTTAATTTTCAGACATCAAAGAGTAAGTTTTAAAAATCTAATTACTTATTTTTGGTGGAGGCAGAGTCATGCATTCTCTGCAAGTCACTCAGGGAGGCTCAAGGAAAAATATTTGTCACTTCAGGGAGGGTAATAAAAGAAGTACCAACCCTCCTTTGATAGGTAAAGAACAGTCCCTAATTTGAACGGTTGACATTAGCTGACACTTAAAAGTCGCCCTCACATGGTGCAACCAACCCGATCTATTTCTGTCCTTGATTCATTGAAGCGATCGCTGCTTAGTTACATCACTGCTGCTTGAGTTCAGCGTTTATCCCTCTGTAAACCAACTCTATTTTCACTTCTGTCTGTGATTAAATCCTCAAAAAAAAATCCCTTCTTTGTGTCTCTCCAGGTGACTTTGGAGAAGGTGTTAGGAATCACTGCTTCAGGAAACAGCGGGCTGGCCTGTGACCCCCGATCTGGTCTAGTCGCCTATCCTGCAGGGTAAGAAGAGAAGGAGAGACGATTTCTGCCTCCTTATCTCAACATCTGACCTTTGACTTATCAACACTCCACACTTCCTTATCATATCTACCTCACGCAGACGTTTAGTGTGGAAATTTCCGTGTGTGTGTGTGTGTGTGTGTGTGTGTTATCTCTGCGCTATCTCAGAGGAACTGAGGAGGAAATCTCTGTGGGCTTTCTCATCGGAGAAACTCCAAAGCTTCTTTTTATCCTGTCCTCAGGGAGGCTTCCTTTGACTCCCTCACAGATGTAAAGAGCATTGTGTGGTATTATTAATTCTGTGCAAACAGTGACACTGGCTGTGTTAACTTGCTGGGTGCAGAAAAAGAGAAGTGTGAGCTGCAGGTTGGAGGGTTTAGATCTACAGTGGCGATGCTTGGGGCCTTGGAGCTGCTGCACCACCAGGGCGACTGCAAAAACAAGCACACTGGGTGCTGCTAGGCTGAAACAGAAACACTGAGCCTCTTTTGTGTTGTTCTCAAATCTTCTGACAAAGCTGTATTAATACTAAGAAGGTCAATGGCTGTTTACAGTGTTGTGGAGTGTGTGTTTGTGATCGTGTGTCTGAGAGAAAACAGCGTCCTTGTGTGTGTGTGCAGGCATTTCTGTGCACATATGTGGGCGTGTGTGTGTGTGTGTGTTTGGTTCTTCTGGCTGTCATTTTAGCGAGCTTTATTCTTCCCAAATTGTGCACAGTCTGGCGATCCACCTGCTGTCTTAGTTTAAATCTGCACAAGCTGTGTGCTACCAGGGATGCAGTTTCCTGGCACGCAGCTAAAGACCTGGCAGCTCGCTAACAGGTGCTTCCAAACAGGTTGTGAAGAGGAAGTTTTATTAGCAGGAGGAAACAATATGGTTATGGCTGTATTATTTGAATATGGAGAAGACAGATTACATAAAAAGTAAAAAAAAAAAGAATTGTGAATCATAAACACTACATGAAGCAAGATGGGACTTTTACTTTTAAGTATTCAAATCACCAGGGCTGCGTTTATTTCTGAAGACTCCAAGGTCCAGTGTGCAGAACAGCATAGGAGAAACACTGATTTTTAACATGAAACTGTTTTATTCAGTATTTTTACCAGTGTAAATCACAAAGTCCATCTGTTTTGGAGAGTGAGAGACCTCTATAGATAATTTGGCTTCCTGTAAAAACCTCCTGAATGTCTGGATCTTAAGTTATCAGAGAAAAAAAGTCAGCACATCAGTGTTTAATCACCTGGTCCGTTTGTTTTTGGGAGGAGGATAGGTAATTCGGCTCCTGGTTAAAACCTCCTGAACAATGAACACTGAAGGAATTCTAACCAGGAGAAGTTTGAGCTGGTTGCAGTCTGCAGTCCTCACAGCCAGATGCTACTAAATCCCCTTAATCTTACACACTGTACCTTGAATACCCTGTTGTGTTATCCAGGTGCACTGTCTTTAACTACAGCAGGGTTTAATTACATTCATTTCAAAGGGGCTTTATTGGCATGAGATGCATAAGTTTACACTGCCAAAGCATGTGTGAAAATGTACCGCAAAGCTTGTTTCACAACATTTGGAGAAAACATGTTCAACCTGGAAACGTGGCAAAACGGTGCACACTTTTTTTTAATTCAACTACCCCAGTACAAACACTGATACAAAGGCAGGTTTATGCTACGAGCACTGTTTATTTCCTCCTTTCTATGTGGTTTTATGTTTTGTGTCAATCTTAAAATATTGTTTTCTACATTTGGGGAAATACATATAGAAGATTGACAAGTCTCTTGTGTCTGTGTCGTAAATTTGAAGCTAGCGCCAGAAGCTAGTTAGCTTAGTTTAGAAGAAAATCCTATGCATGCCGCTAACGTTAGCCAAGGTTAGCTAACGTTAGCCCGTCTTTGCTCAAATGTAAGTTTAACAAATTTCACCTACCAACACCTTTAAGTCTCACAGATTCTAGCGCTATATTTTGTTGGTTTCATTGTGTAGTATTAGGTGATTTTTGTCACTTAAAGAAATAGCCAGATTAGCTGTTTCCAGTTTCCAGTCTTTATGCTAGCTAAGCTCACCGGTGTTTCGGTTTCAGGAGTGACCGTGTTAACTGATGACTTTCCTGGTAACTCGTAGCAAATACATCGGGAACGTATCTATGTTTCCCGGGTTTTATGTTCCCCGCTTACACAAAAAAGGTTCTATGTTTCCCGGGTTCTATATTGCCCACTCAACCAAGCGGAAAACATAGAACCCTGGAAACACAGGGATGACCCCAATACGTCAACGATTGGTAGATATATGGTACATAACGTTAGGTTTTAAAGATAAATGAGTATGTATTTAAAATGTATTAAAATAAAATTAAAGGCTTTGACGAGGACAGCGACATGTTTTGTCCGTGAGGAGCAACTACGTCTCACTTGGCTGAGGTGGTTTGGTTTTTCTGTTCTGGGCTAACGTTACTGTAAACCACATGTCAGACTCAGGCTACGCAGCGAAGTGTTTATCTTTCCGGATAAACGGTTTATTCGAAGGTAACGATTAAACAACAATTCTTACTTTCAGGTGATTATACACTAATGACATAGTTGTAAATATTTAATTCCGTTTATGCCGATATATCAGCCTAAATCCTACACAGCGGAGCTTTTTAATAAGGTAACTCATTAAACAGAAACACCAGACAACACTGACTGTAAGTTCATAGTTCACAGTCATGGCAGTGATCTTCTCATACATGCTAACCATGATGCTAACTCTCTTCAGGCAAGTGCAGGCAGTCTGTCTCTCAAAATGTCAAACTATTCATTTGAAATCTAAAATAGTTTAACATTTAATTTTCACTGATGCCCCTGACATTAGGTTCGGGGTTCCTGTGGTCATGGAAAACCTGGAAAAATCATGAAGAAGATTTTTATTTGTCATTATATGAGCAAGCATACAACGAAAATGCAAAATCCCTGTGATGCACAATATGCATAAATAAATAAATGACTGCATTATAAATGAGTCCCTAAGTACATTTCACAATCACATTTTCCAGGCCTGGAAAAGTCATGGAATAAGTAAAAATTAATTAAATGTTTTGGAAAAGTTTTGGAATTTTGTTGTGTGTGATGCAACTGTTGCAGTATCTTTCATCTTTCATAAATAACCTTCCATATAATGTAATTTAATGGCCAATTTATTTTCTCAAGCTTTTGACTTGATGTACCTCTAATATGCATCAGTGCATGACAACATTTTGTTTACCATCAAGTCATTTTCTCCCTGCGTTCTCCCTCTCTCTGAAATTATGTTTGAATAGAGTTTGGATCTGATATGTTTGAATCTATCTATCTATCTATCTATCTATCTATAGCCTACACTATTATTACAGTTTAGAGATGCTGCTAATTGGTGCACAACCTTTTATGATGCAAATTTGTAAAAGTGTTTGTTGATTTGATTAACGTCAGAACATCAGGAAGTATTTTTCAGATTTAAAATCTATCTTTCAAAGAATGCTCAGAGGAGTAGATGCATGAATGAGTACTGTGTTACTGTATTTCTTTGTGTAATCTTTTGAGAAAAAATGGGTCATGGATTGAAGTTTGATTATGGATCAACTAAGATTAGCTCACGTAGGCCTACTTCTGTAAGTATTAGTTGCTATTTGAGTAATTCTGTATGGATTCCTGTGTTGCATCAGAGCTTTAATGGTGTATAATCAGTCAGCCTCCGTACTTTGAGCTATGCTACAGGTATGCACCGTGAAAAAAAGAGTTGAGTAATTTGTTGACCTGAAAATGTTTTTTCCACTCAGCCATGGACAAGTGTTTGCATTTCTTGGAAGTACCTTGACTAAATAAATTATAAAACACTTGAAAGTTGGCAATGGAAATTTTCCATTTAAATTTCACCTCAGGAAACACCAAACGTGTGTGTCTAGATCTGTTCCAAGTCACATGCATCATTGCTTATATCATGAAGTGAAAAAACACAACTCATGTGGTTAATTCTGATTATATTTTTCCTGGTGTAGGTGTGTGGTAGTTTTGCTGAACCCCAAAAAGAACAGACAGCACCACATTATCAACACGTCAAGGTGAGTTGAACATAAATATAATCTGCCGTTAAATGGAACAACATTAAAGTGTCAAAACTATCAAAGCATGAGTCACACTGAGCTGCCTTTTTCTGTTGCTTTCACTTATCACAGAAAGACCATCACAGCTCTGTCCTTCTCCCCTGATGGCAAATACTTGGTCACAGGAGAGGTGAGTCGCACTGTCAATCTGCCTTTCTGTTATTTTTCACAAGAATTCAACCTCTCTCAGGCTCCAGATGTCCTCAGTAAACAGAGTGAGCGTGTTTCATTGAGAATACCCCAGCAGGACGTTGGCCTGCAGTCATTTGTTAATGCTCCCTCATGTTCAGCTGTCATATATCAGTCGAGCATCTGCACCTGTGGTGTAGTTACACTGTTTTCCTCAACACACCATCTTAATCCGCCCCAGCCAATCAAAGCCGATTAAAGACCTCTGTGTGTAAGTGGATGAGCGCCCAGTAGTTGCCATGACGCAACAGACCAAAGTTTAAAAGACCAAATGCAATGAGGCTACGCTGTTCTGCTGCCATGTAATGCTAAATTTTGTAGCCTGATTATGCATGGCATGGGGAATTCATGATTGCTACTTTAAAACACAGCTGATTTTTATATTAAAGCACTAAATATCAGGTCAGTCTTTCAAGCCTAATATTAATATTATAGTCAGTACCCAGAGCTGAGAGCATCACAGCTGTCAGAATATTTCCTAAAAGCCTTGAAAGAGGAGAGGATATTCCTGAGTGACTTGATAAGAAACGTCTCTCACACACTCATTCACCAAACAGGAGCTAATTTACATCAAGGACAGACGGGCAGCAGACATGCATATCATTTGTATTTGTCTTTCTCTCTGTCTCCTTTGTATGCAGCTCAGTCTTCAGCTGAATGTCATCCATTTTCAGCGTCCTTCAGGCCGCCTCTCCTCTCACCTGTTAACTCTGACCTTTGAAAGGTCGTTGTGTATTAAAACAAGAGGCCACGCAAATAGCCTGCCGACCTTTCGATCCCTGCAGAGAGAGTAATGTGAACAGGTCGAGGGACAAGTAACTGTATACAGTGAGCAGTGGACGGGGAGGATAATCTCTGAGAGAGCTGGGTAGACTGGGCTGACAGGTGACTCTGTGGTTCCTGTACCAGTGGATTTAAAGGGACAGTTCATGTTTTTCCTCTTTCCTCTGTTTATGAGGGCTGTTGCGGTAAAGGAATTTCTTGTGCAGTGTTGAGCATGATATGCAGTATTACATCATGTAACCTGATTGTAGTGCTTTATAAATAAGCTTTATTGTTTGGCTATTATCAGGTATGTTGCTGCCTTATATATGACAAAGATGGCACGGTTTGAAAACAAATCAAATACTTGTTTTACATTGTGAAATGCAGAACACAGAAGGGCAATGAGGCCCATGAACTGACATGCTTTGGTTGGATGTGGTTGCTATGATACTAAATATCCACTGAAATAAAAATGTCAGCACAAAGTAGAGTACCTACCTGCTCTGGCCCTTGCTCCAGGTGAAGGGAAAGCTGGAGCAAATAGGGAGAAAGGACGGACCCGTCGGTCTGTGTTGGTTCAATATTAATTTCACCTCTGATGGTCGTGTCATTGTTCAGCGATGTGACAGTTAGTCTTTGTGGTTCTGGTCCAGCCCTCCTCAGGAGAGACAGAAGAATGAAGTGAAGTGTGAGTTGCAGAGTGCTGGAGATCTCAGCCGTAGAGATGCCTGCCTTCTCTATTATTTAATGAAACTAGATGGCACTTGGCTTGTGGTGCTCAAAGTCCCAAAAAATACATTTGAAAAACTCAACAGCAGTGTCTCTTCCCAGAAATCATGACCTGGTTACTCAAGATAATCCACAGACCTTGTTGTGAGTGGTTTCATGTAGGACCTATTTTCTTTCTACTGTATCACCATACAGAAGGAAACGTGTGTCTACGTATCAAATGTCCTCCTCCACCAAGCTATTTCCTCTCTCTGTTTCAACTACTCACTCCCCATCTCCACCCCTCTCTTTCCCTTTCCCCAGAGCGGTCACCTGCCAGCGGTTAGACTGTGGGACGTGGCAGAACGAAGACAGGTGGCGGAGCTCCAGAAGCACAACTATGGCGTCTCTTGTGTGGCTTTCTCCCCCAACAGCAAATACATTGTCAGTGTGGGAAACCAGCATGACATGATGGTCAACGTCTGGGCGTGGAAGGTATGCCTCGTAGCCCACAGTCAGCTCTTCTTGCCAAGACTGTTGTTGCTGTGCCGTTGAAACACTCAGTTGTGTTTGTCATATTGGTTCAAGCTAGAAGGACTTTAGCTTCTACCTTTCACCTACACACTCCTGGATATGTTAAAGGAATAGTGTGGGAAATTTGCTCTCAGCAGCAGGCTAGCTTAGCTTAGCATAAAGACTGGAAATAGGGGGACTCAGCTAGCCTGACTCTGTCCAGACTTTAAGTATGCTTTCTGTTTTTACCATATACTGTTATATCGTTCTCTTGCAGAAAGATGTCGTTGTGGCTGCCAACAAGGTGTCCAGTAAGGTGACAGGTGTGTCTTTCTCTGAGGACAGTTCCTACTTTGTAACTGTGGGAAACAGACATGTCAAGTTCTGGTATCTGGACCACTGCAAGGCCAGCAAGGTAATATATAATGCTCAGCCCAGCTAGGAGATAATGTTGGAATTGTAAGATTCTGCAAACCATGGATGCGTTACTTTGGATGTTTCTAGGGCTGCACCCTGAAAGATGAGACCCCTCAGTCGACTGAGATTGCTTGAGTCGAGTAGCCTGTTTTGTTTTTTTTGTCAGTCAGAGTGCAGTGTACCTCTGGAGGTGTTTCGGTCCCCAGAAATTGCTGCTCTTCACTCAGACTCCGAAATAACATCTTCATCATCTGTCTCCTTCTCTTTGCTTTAGTTCTGCTTGGAGTCCTTTTCTAACTTTAAAATAATCTTCTCTTTTCTTCCAAACTTTTTTGCATAGTATGAAAAGTCTTCATCGCCTTGAAAATTGTCCAGGCTATAAACACTCTCATAGATCAGTGGGATTTTGGTTTTGTTACAGCTCCCATGTAATTGTTATTTCATTGTTCCAGAGTGTCCTCACAGCGGTGAACTTCACAGAGTTTTCTTCACAACTTCACAACTGTTTATTGTGTGATAAAAAAAAACTCGAACAAAGATCAAATTTAGTACTAGTCACACGTTCATTGTGAAATCCATGGCTTCTCATCTGACCTTTCTTTGTTATTTTTCACACCAAGAAATTCTACTTAAAAAAAGGAAAATCTTACAGCTACATATACTTCCAAATGCGTGGATAGGGATTTAATGTCGACACATACAGAGTGTAAATGTAAACCAGTATTCTTCAGTCTGAGCCTCAGCTAACCTTCTCTCCTCTGTGGTATGTAGGCCAGCACTCCTGTCCCTCTGCTGGGCCGCTCAGGGCTGCTGGGGGAGCTGAGGAACAACTTCTTCTGTGATGTGGCCTGTGGACGGGGCTCTACGTCTGACTCCATCTTCTGCATCACCTCCTCTGGCCTGCTGTGCGAGTTTAACAGCAAGAGGGTGCTGGACAAGTGGGTGGACCTGCAGGTGAGAGGCTTACAGGAAGTGTCGAACAGTGATGAGTCGGGCAGTTAACTACCATTACTTGTAATGATATAAATGACTTTACCCCAGATCAGAGAGATGTAGGGGATATTGATTGGGCTGTGTTATTCCACCTAATGAGGTTATATCTCAGCTAGCCTGGCTCTGTCTGAAGGTAACGGGGGGAATTTGTTCCCCTCAATAACAAAACATAAAAGCAGCAGATGTCTTTTGTTTTGACAAAGTTAATGACATTTCCAGCATACACTGATACAGAAAAGGAAAAACAAGATGCATGAAAATTCCCCAGAATGCAGGACATTAAGTGATGCTCAAAATGTCCTAAGGACAGACCCCAAACTCCCAGTTTCGTATGTCAACATGAATCGTTAAACCTTCTTGAGTCCAGACTGAGTGGAGTCCTATGGGAAACAGCTGTGAAGTCCACAGCCAGTGGCTGCTTGCTCCACTTCTTGCTCCAATGCTGTTCAGCGGCTAGCAGAACATCCTGGCACAGACTAGCTGTTCTCTGCTTTCAAAGTCTAACAGTCCATGCTAACATTTTCGTCACGTTTCGTCTCATCAATGAAAATGAAACATCGATTTCGTCTTAGTTCTTACTATCGAGTTCTTTTTTCAGCTCGTTATCGTCTAATTTTCGTCATGGAAAAAAAGGTTGTTGATGAAAAATTTCCGATGTAGTTTTTGTCAGCAGTAACCATTTGGGACATGTCCACTTAAAGTGCTTTATTTTGCCACTGACAGGCTCACATTATTATTTTAAGTGTCTGACAACTTATGAAAAGGATCCCCACAGAGATAAACCTTTTTGTATAAGAGTAAGGCCCCGTTTATACGACAACGATTTCAACTGAAAACAGTAAACTTTAGTTGCATTTAGGCCGATCGTTTACACGACAGCGGCGTTTTGGGTGCCTGAAAATGCAACGTTTTGAAAACAGGTTCCAGAGTGCAACTTTTTGGAAACGGCAGCGTCTCCGTTGTCATGTAAAAGTGCAATATGCAGTTCCTCTGAAAACGGAGACTTTTCGCACATGCGCATTACGGTTCCAGTCACTAGGCATGCCGACCGTCACAACAACAATGCCGAGCTCTGTTTGTGCTGGTCACCCTGTTGATTTGAAGTCGTCGTCCATCCAGACAAAGTTATCTGTGCATGCTTTTCCCATTGTGTCTTCTTTGTTTTGGTTTGTAATCACTGCGTTGTAGAGGAAGGCGCTTCAGCGCAGGCGCATGGCAGAGTCCTGCACGGGTCCAGTTTTCAAGATCCGCCCCGCCCCGACCCGGCGACGTACAAACCCGCACCCAAACTGCAAACCCGCGCATCAGGCCAATTAGTTCCGCAACCCGGTCCGACCCGTTGAAACACGACCCGCAGCCCGACCCGTAACCCGGATTTAAAGTAATCATTTTGGGTCATATTGGCTGAATATTGAACAGCATATCGCCACAGTTAAGGTGCCAGTGAGTAAACAACGACCTGAATGAAGCAGCTCTCACAATAAAAACCTGACTTCAGCTCCATCATCAACCCTTTGTGTTCTTCTCCCATACGAGTGTAAAAGCACTTGTTTGTTACCTTTTAATGCTTTTAAATTTTTAATTTATGTAAAGGAACTTTACATGTGTAATAATAGACTTACTTTCTGTCCAGAGCGACGTTCAGCAGTTACGAGCCGTCACGTGTTTTTAGAATCCATCGAGGAGAGAAGTAATCCATCAGGGAAACACTTCAGAAACATTATAAAGTGATAGTTGTACGTTTTATCAACTTATTTCTCAAATACCTAAATAATTATTTACTGTTTTGGAAGCGGCACTTGTTAGACGGTGGCAGCCATGTTGATTCTCTCGTCCAATCACAAATTGTGTTATTAGATGGTGAAACGCGTGTAAACAGCTGAACCAATGACCGTTGCGAAATAGCGGAGGCGATCCTAAGAGAGTAAATAATGACCAAGATAGTTATATGTAGTTTACTGAACTAATGACTGATGTGTTTATCTAAAACCCGCGATCCGACCCGCATGTTATTTTTTCCACCCAGATCCGAACCCGGGAAAAAATGTTTTTTTTAAAAACCACCCGCAAATCAGCTGTTTTTGCAGGTACCCGTTGGGTACCCGTCCCAGTGCAGGACTCTGGTGCATGGCGTCATGCCATGGTGTTGCTTTGCAAATTTACACTGCCACCCATTGGCCTGGCGTGCATACTACAGCGTTTCCACTAGATTTTGCAGCTCCGTGTGAACGGGGATCGTTTCAATAACGTCGTCATATAAACGCAAAAGTTTTGTAAAACGCAAAGGACAGACTTTTCCGTTTTTAGAGAAACCGTTGTCATCAAAACAGGGCCTAAGCTCCTCTTGGTTTAACTGGAAACAGCCGGAAATTGCTGTCACCAAACCCACCAGACTCCATTTAAATAAGCAGCAGTTCTCTCACCATAAAATACACTTCACAGGGGAGTCGACAGTAACAAAATAAAACTCACAAAAACTGTCTTTCCACTTTTCCAACGATCAGTAGCTTTGGTTTTGTCTGAATAAACCCTTAATTCACCCAGTTAGATGCGAAGATATGCTGGCTCTATACAGACTAAAACTGCAGTTTTTTTAAAGGAGTTTGGTGGTGCTGGCGATGGCAATTTTTGGGGCTGTCTCTGGTTAAACAAAAAGTCTCTGACTCTTTATCTCTGTACGGATCCTTTCCATAATGTTGTCAGACACGTAGCATTGCAATCTGAGCCTGTCAATGACAAAAACAAGCACTCCGAAGGGATGTAAATTGACGGTGTAAACATTCCTTGTTGTTACATTACAGTCTGTGTCACAGGTGCCGGGAGCAGAGGTGTCGCTCAATACTGGACCATTTTCAAAAATTGCTGTTCCCATCAGTCACTGAGACACAAAACATTAGAAAATAGAGTTCAGGTTGAAAACTATCAAAACTTACTGGTGTTAAATTTGCAGTATATATACGTATACCTTCCTGAGTGCGGCACAACCACCAGTCCTCATTGGTTAGCGTCCAGCTGTGGTGTTTAATCAAGAGGTGAAGATGAAGGTGTGTGAGTCCTGCCTTCTGTCAGAGGATCAAAGAGGGATTAGCAGCAGGGACGAGAACAAGTACAGGATGTGTTTGGAAGTATTCCAATAAGGACGCGTTGATGTCTGTAACCTTTATTATTACTGACACGCACGGCTGTTCACCTGGACTTAATTATGAAACTGCAGTTGATTTTTCTTTGTATTGGTGATCGTTAGAGGCCTCTGTTAATTCACTTTTATGTTAACTATATTACTGTGGACACATTTGGTCCAATAAGGTCACGTGTTAATAACAGAGCTGTTGTTTTGTGTCCTGCCTTACAGACGGGCATGGCCCAGTCCCTGTCTCTGTCTGAGGATATGATCTTCTGCGGCTGTGCTGATGGAACGGTGCGAGCCTTCAGCCCCGCCGACCTTCACTTTGCCTGCACGTTGCCGCGGCCGCACCCCCTTGGCTGTGATGTCTCGGCCATCACCGAGGCCAGGTGAGGAAGAGCTCAGGAGTAACACAGCCTCTCCTTGGCTGGGATCCACTGCAGGATCAAATGCCCTCAATTTATAGTCCCTCTTGTCTCAAGTGGCTCCTTCTCACAGTCTAAATAACTCTCGCTGGAGTCAAAATCAATAGCGGGTTTTGTGGTACTTTAAGTAGTGCAATATTTTAAGCTCATTGTAAGTTACCAAACTGTACTTTATACTGAATGTTTCAAGTCCAGACAGATACGATGGTAATAAATAATAATCTGTACAGGGCTTTAAAGAGCTGCTCTTCTGATTTCTTTATGATTATTCAGTGACTTGGAAAGAGGGCCCACTGACAAACCTTTGTCCATCTGTGGCTGTTATTCCATGATCTTTGAAAATGTATCCCAATCTCTTTCCCATCAGCCACCTGTTCTCCACCAAGCCGGATGCCCGTTACCCAGACGTCATCGCCGTGACCTATGACCCCATCAGCCAGTGGCTCAGCTGTGTTTATAACGACCACAGTGTGTACGTGTGGGATGTGAGAGACGTCAGCAGGGTGGGGAAGGTGCACTCTGCCCTCTTCCATGCTGCCTGTGTCGGGGACCTGGAGGTAAACAAGCGAATGATGCGCACCTCTTTAACCGCGATGACACATGCAGTGTGTTTCAAACAAGCGCCCGATTAAGTGTGTTAAAGAGTTAAAGAGCCCGAAATCAAAAACACTTATTTTCCCTCTTACCTGTAGCGCTATTTATCAATCTAGATTGTTTTGTTGTGAGTTGCCGAGTGATAAAGATGTCTGCCTTCTCTACTGTTTAATGGAACTTGATGGCACTCAGCTTGTGGTGCTCAAAAGTCCCAAAAAATACATCTGAAAAACTTCACATCAGTGTCTGTTCCCAAAAATCATGACCCACCCGTACACAGCGTGAGATGTAAACATTAACGGTACCCTCCTCGGCTGAGCTGTAACGTTAGCTAGCTTAGTAATGCTAGGTGAGCTAGCAGTGGATGCATGTTTTCTTCTGCATGGTGATACAGTTGGTGGGTGTAGTTCAGTGACAAGAAAATAGTTCCTGAAATGAAACTGGTCACAACAAGGTCTGTGGATTATCTTGAGTAGCTGGGTCATGATTTCTGGAAAGAGACATTGCCTTTGAGTTTATCAGATGTATTTTGAAGGCAGACATCTCTACAGCTGATATCTCCAACATTTGGCAACTCACACCAAAGCAGGCGAGATAGAATATGTCTTTTTGATTTTGAAGCAAACTGTCCCTGTAATAATTACAAAATGGGTGAGTGTTTGGCATTGATAAGGCCACCCCAGTGGTAAAATTCGGCTGCTTTGGGACACAGAAAAGTCTATTGCTGTATTTTGTTAATGGTTATTACATTAAGTAAGCCATAATATTAATATTAGTGTCAGTTTTTAACTTGCTAATAATAGGCAGTGAAAGCTCTTAATTCCGCTTTTATGCGAGAGTATCTGTCTTCAAACCAATTCCCCTTTTGAAAACAGAAGGGAAATGGAAAGCATAACATGGCAACCAAAAATTTGAAGGAGTTAGAATAGAAGTGAAAATGATTTATTTGAACTCGGCAAACATAGCAAAGGGTTCTCAAAATGTGGGGGAGGACGGGACACGGTGGTCATGCCAAACAAAATCAATATAACAAAACTGGCCTGACTAATCGCTACGTACCTCTGAAAACAAAAACACCAACAAAAGAAGTAGCTTGCTTATCTAAAAAAAGGAACTTCACCAAAACAAATGCAGAGGTGGCACCAACTAATAATCCTGGTGTTGCCAGATAAAAGTTTTCCATGTGAGTGAGAAGTGTAAAGGGTACCCAACTCACCTATTGTGCTCAAACTCCCACCATATGCCTTTATCTAACACGCTCAACGAGTTTGCTGAACACAGTCCAACAGCAGCTCCGGCAGAGCTTTGCAGATTTTGATCAGTGATTCTGACTACAGCTGTGAGTTGTGGATACAAAGGCTTGTCTCAGCTGACCTTATTCATTCACAGTGAGCATGTTCACAACCAACAACGTGGGTTTTGAGATGGAAAAGTACCAAAGCTAAAGATTAAATGTTAAATGCTGAGTGTAAATATGTGGCACAGCAGTGGAATTCTTACATCATTTATATTCCCTGAACTCTCACCCAACTAAACAACTTCTCTCTTGTCCTTCCTCAGATGTTCCCAGATGTTCCCGGGGAATTTGGTGCTGGTTTGTCATCAGGTGCATTCCTGAGCTGCTCAGCAGATAACACCATCAGACTGTGGCGCATGGGCGACTGGACACAAACTCATGTTCATTCTCATAACATCCTCAGCAGTGTGAGTTTGCCATCATTGTCTGGTGTAGAGATTTTCATGGGTCAACCCAGGACCAAAACTGGGACCTGTATAGGTTTTGGTCCACGTTTTACTTTGGTCAGTTGAGTCTGGGTCAGGTCTTGTTCTATTACCATGGGTCCCAGGTCTATTTGTCATTATGTGTAATGCCAGAGTGGATCCGAGAAGACTTGTGATCAGCGCTGATTATGAGAGAAACGCATAAGTGCTGTATCTTGTGTGATGATTAGGCTGACTTAGCATCAGCAGCAGCAGCAGCAAGTTGGAGGCAGAGCAGACAAAAGATGGATAGTGATCTGGGGAAACAAAGGTGTTGCAGCAGCTCACATCACAACAACAAAATAATCTGATTCATTATTAAAGGCACTTTTTATACTCATTTTCAGGTTCACACTTCCATTAAAGTTTTCTGCTAGAATATGTTTACATGCTTTAAAGGGATAGTGCACCCAAAAATGAAAATGCAGCCATTATCTACTCATCCATATGCCGAGGGAGGCTCAGGTGAAGTTTTAGAGTCCTCACATCACTTGCGGAGATCCAAGGGGAGAGGAGGTAGCAACACAACTCCACCTAATGGAGGCTGACGGCGCCCCAGATTCAAACGTCCAAAAACACATAATTGAAACCACAAAAAATCTCCATACTGCTCGTCCGTAGAGATCCAAGTGTCCTGAAGCCCCGACAAAAAAAGTTGTTTGGAAAAACGTCATTTGAACTCTGTTTTTAGCCTCATTGTAGCCTGTAGCTCTGACTGCCTCTCTGTACACTGCGCTCACGTGTGTGCGCTTGCGTGCGAGACCAGCGAAAGCACGTGAACACACATGAAGGCGGTGCCCATGTCTCACGGTCTCGCACAAGTGCACACAAGTCAGCGCGGTGCACACAGAGGCAGTCAGAGCTACAGGCTACAGTGAGGCTAAAAACAGAGTTCAAATGACGCTTTTCCAAACAACTTTTTATGTCGGGGCTTCAGGACACTTGGATCACTACGGACGAGCAGTATGGAGATATTTTGTGGCTTCAATTATGTGTTTTTGGACGTTTGAATCTGGGGCACCGTCAGCCTCTATTAGGTGTGCAGTTGTGCTGCTACCAACTCTCCCCTCGGATCTCCGCAAGTGATGTGAGGACTCTAAAACTTCACCTGAGCCTTCCTCGGCATTAGGGTGAGTAGATAATGGCTGAATTTTCATTTTTGGGTGCACTATCCCTTTAATGATCGAAAAACACTTTATTTTCCTCATATTGTTTGAGCTGAAACACCTGTACTCACCCTCTGTCTGAAATGCTCTGTTGTAGCGTCTGTCTCTATAAGCCTCCATCCCAAAAAAGCCTAGTCTGCTCTGACTGGTCTGAGTTTCTGGGTAGTCGTATTTTGTTGTCTTTGCACCGTCACATTCAAAAAGTTACTGTAACCGAGTATAGTGGTTAAAAAATCACCAATAAGTCCTTTTAAACACAACCGGACATGTTCCAGCGGGAATATAATCCAAAACTGAGGAGAAATGAACAACATCTGCAACCAAGATTACATGTTCTCCCGATATTAGCATGTAGCTACACGTAGCAGTGCACTTACAGCTGGGGAATCGCTGGAACAGAGAATAGTGGCATTTCTTACTTTGAACAATCACCAATAAAAGCTTCTAAAAGAAACCGGACACGTTCAGCAGGAATATGATTCAAATTCTGGAAGAAATTAGTGACACTGGCAACCAAGACTACATATTTCCCTGATATTAGCATGTAGCTACATGTAGCAGTGTTCTTGCAGCTGGGGTAATGACTGTAGCAGAAAACAGTGCCACTTTTTTACCATGAAAAATCAACTAAAGCTTCTGAATACAACCGGACATGTTCCAGCAGGAATATGATCCAAAACTGTGGAGAAATGAACAACATCTGCAACCAAGATTACATGTTCTCCCAATATTAGCATGTAGCTACACGTAGCAGTGCACTTACAGCTGGGGAATCGCTGGAACAGAGAATAGTGGCATTTCTTACTTTGAACAATCACCAGTAAAAGCTTCTAAGAGAAACTGAACATGTTCAGCAGGAATATGATCCAAAAACGAGGAGAAATTTACAATATTTGCAACCAAGATTACATGTTTCCCTGATATTAGCATGTAGCTACATGTAGCAGTGAAAGCTACATAATGTAAACACTTGCAGTAGCGTGCCTGGAGCAGATGACCATATAAAGAAACCCAGCACACTATGACATAACTGTTGGAAATGGAGTATTCAGAATGGTATGAAGCCTGTGATTTCTGCTCACAGGGATTATTTTTACATATGTTTACCTCATCATTATTATTATTATTATCATTATTATTATTATTAAATAGGAACATCCATCATTGTAACCCTATATATAAGACACAAAATATGGAAAAGCATAATAGGTTCCCTTTAAACATTATATACATTAAGATGGGTATGAACAGTATGTTGTATCCAACATAATAAATGTGTTTAGCAGTGGCACAAAATTTTCCTGTCTGTAATATCTAGGGGGAAAACGGTTGAGTATTTATATTTCTAAAAATGATCAGGTTCAGTCGGGTCTCGGAACAAATTTCCTGGTTTCAGGTCCATTATTTTGGACCTGTGAAGACCTCAAGTGTTTATGTCTTCATGTCATACCAAAGAAAAAAATAACATTTCAGGAGCAGACATTCCTACTGTGATGGGTCATTCATATATCCATCATTGCTTTGCAGGATCTCCTGAATATAATCTACGTAGAAGGAAACACCAGTGCCTTGCTGGATCCGGAGTGTTTGACAAATATAAATGTGGACAAACCAGGAGATGGACAGACAGCAGAAAGCAGGACCGGCATCAGGACCATCTGTGTCAGTCCAGACGGCAAACACCTGGCATCTGGAGATCGCAACGGGATGCTAAGGTCGGACAAGAAGGCTTAAACTGAGACTGATGACTGACTGAGGTGACCTCCATCCTAAAACAAAAATTTGAATTTATACTCTGCAGGGTTCATGACCTCAGCAGCATGGAGGAGATTCTGAAAGTGGAGGCCCACGATGCTGAGATCCTCTGTCTCGAATACAGTAAACCAGAAACAGGTCGGTGTGTGTGTGTGTATGTGATTAGAATGATGGCATGCTTGTGGAATATCTGTGCGTTGGATGTGTATACGATTATGTGATTAAGTTGTCTTATTACTGTCAGGTCTGAAGCTGCTGGCCACAGCTAGCAGGGACCGTCTGATCCACGTCTTGGATGCTGAGGACGACTACAGTCTGGTGCAGACACTTGACGAGCACTCTTCATCCATAACAGCCGTCCGCTTTGCTGGTGAGCCACTTGAGACACTGTCAACATCTGACAGCTAATCTTTGCTTAATCCTCACTTTCATCTCCATTCAGTCCCACTCTTTTATTTTGCTCGCAGCGCTGCTTGTTTATATAATAGATGACAACTATACATGTGTTAGGTGGAGCTTTGTTTGTTAGAAGCAAAGCCTCGTCTGCTGTGTACTTCTTTTATTTTTTACACTTTGTTTTCTCTCTCTGTGGATTTGCATACTTGCATCAGTATCTGCCTTTGATTTTGAATTGGGATTAATTTAGTCATGATTTTGTTTTTAAATCTTCTATGTCTCCTTAGAGTGTAGAAAATTACTATTAGTGGCCGACTGATGAAGAGTAGCATTTCTTTTTCATTGCCTACAGGCCTCAATGTCTCATTGTTTCTTTTAAAGTTACAAAAAGTCCTCATTCAGTTTGTGTCTTTGTTCTTCAGCCAATGACAACAAGGTGAGGATGATCAGCTGTGGGGCAGACAAGAGCATCTACTTCCGCACTGCACACAAGGTAAGACACGTCTGAGCGAGATACATCCCATCAGCTCCCACCATCAAGCATGTATCTTTCCAGAGGTGAATACTGATGTAGAATACCCAATAAAACCTTCTACAGTTTAAACAGGGACGGCGGATGTAAGCATGTGCACGCATTTTGGCAGCAGAAATGTGGTGGAGGTCAGTGGCTGTGTAAGAACATTCACCACCAAAGATTGTGAATGCTACCTAAACAAATTAACCTTCACAAATGGTGACGACCTCCACGGTGGAGTTTGGCCCCGATGCCCCCCCCCCACACACACACACACACACAGAGCAACCTCTCTCGCTCTCCCGCTGCCATTTTCCGCACGCTGTTTTTGAAATTTTCTGCGATCACCTGCCCCTCGAATTATTCGTAGTTCACCTACTTGACTGGCTCGTGGAGTGAATAGAGGAGAGGAGAGGAGGGGCGGTGTTGTGCATGCGCGGCTTCCGTAGAAGTCAAAATAACATCTCCAGGCGTCCGTGACCAAAAATCGTTTACACTCGATTTCATTAATTTTGAAATCGTTTGACCTGAAAATCGTAATCGCGATCACCAGACAATTAATTACAAAGTCTTCACCATCGTATACCTTAAAGCCGCTACAAGGAACTTTTAACTGGATATGCAAAAGTCTCTTGTTTCTGCTGATGTCTGTGCGTGACCTACAACAGCAAATGAGAACATCAGTGTGAAGATAAGCTATTTCTATATAGTGTATATCCATACCTTTAGGAAACTGTCTCCGGGTCCGCCCCAGGTCGCTTCCAGGACGAAACGATTTACGGCACTCAGACGGCACACTTCATCTTACCTAGCTGCTTACATTTATAGTGACTCTTATAAATAGTCGCTATTCCTCCTCCTCGACCCGACATCTGCGGGGAATTAAAATAGCAGCAATCATCGGGTAAAAGTTCTGTGAAAGCACTGGACTCACCAACAGTCAGCCACGTCTCAGTCACACAGAGAAAATCCAATCCTCGGGAAGTCAGGAAATCCTTCAGGATAAAGATTTTGTTCGCTAGCGATCTAGCATTTACCAGCCCAATCCTGGCAGGAGCCAGCGGGTCCAGCGAGTGCCGAGAAATAAAGAGGCGAGGCACCGCTGCATACTCAGTCCAAGAAGCCGTGGCCAAACAGGCCTTCAGCCTTACCAGCCAACCGCTGCGTTTACCCCGGCGGCGGTGGTGCTTACGCCGGAGAGGTGGAGCTGGGGCGCGGCAGAGGTAAGCTGGGACCAAAGTTTTCCCGTCTTGTTGTTTCGTCAGAGATATTGGATGAAGGGAGATACCCAACTGTAGGCTTATCCAATGTTAAGAAAACGGTTACTCTTCCTGTCTCCTAAGTGGGCGTGATTAGCTCTCCCTCCAATCAGAGCCTGTTCTCCCTCACCCCCCCTCCCCACCACCGTGTTGAACAGAGGCTCTGTGGATGTCTGTGTATGCGGGTCGAGAAGCAGGTGGAATGAAAATAAATTCTTCCTATTATTGCAGCCTATTGTTGCACAAAGTTTGGACATTTTTTATTTATTACTAGCGGTAAATAACTGTTTGTAAGCTAACTGTGATTTTACCGCCTGTTTATCAAGATCACGAGATCTCGCGAGAACTTGTTTTCTGAGACGGACAGGGCTCAAACAAAGTTAATTTTCTCTTGATCTGTGCGGATGAAAAATGCAGCTTTAGTGTCAGAATATTGGGAAGATGTGTGGCTTGTGGAAAATGAACCCAATATTTACTTTAGTGACTACAGAGTGAAAGAATTGACCATAAATTGTGATCACGTTCATTTTCCTCATTGATGACAATACATTCAGAGCTGCCGCAAGTCTCCTACGGGGGCGTGGCGCTGACGTCACTGAATCAGGAAGTGAGCTGAGTTGGGTATCTCGCTTCATCCAGTATCTCTGGTTTCGTTCATCCCCAAGACAAACACATGCGCGAACCAGGTAAGCGTCTTTATGACAATACGTGCTAGAGCTCATGGGAAATGTAGGCTTCATTCCGGCAAAACACTACTGCTTTTGTCCACAGGGTCGCCAAAATCAACTCAAAATTTCCAAAAGTTCCTTGTAGGGGCTTTAACTTCAACTGCTTTGCTTGTTGTTAAGTAATAACTGATTTAGCATTTTTGTTAAGGAGATTAAGGAGAACATTTCCACGTCTGTACTCTAAATATGTAGCTGTAGCCAGTAGCTGGTTAGCTTAGCTTAGCATAAAGGCCGGGAACAACAAGCCTAGCTCTGTCCAAAAGTAAGTCACTAATTAAGATGTTAAATCTTGTTAGTTTATTCTGTTCAAACCCCAATGTGTAAAAACGACATGCCAGACAATCTGTTCCCCTCTGTTTCAAGCCTTTGTGCTAAGCTAAGCTAAGCTAAGCTAAGCTAACCACCCACTGCCTCTAGCTAAACATTTACCACACAGACATAGTGGTGTTTTCATCTGACTTTTAGCAAGTAAGCACATTTCCTAAAATGTCACAGTTCTTTTTTGACAACAGTTCTTTTCTGACAAATTTATTGTCATTGCTTTTTCTCTCATAATCACATATTCCCAGTATATTATTTAGGTAATACATCATTTGAGGCTAGTTCGTCCTGCAGCTATATTAAAATCACTGTAAATGTCTGGTTTCAGCTGACTTACTGCTTAATTTTGGTACATGGGAACATTTCCAAAATATTCTCATAATTATTTCTGGCCATAAGAGACACACTGAGGAGCTAATCCTGGTTCAGCCATCTTGTATGCTTCATTTTTTTTGATTAAATTCAATGATTAATTCCTCACATTACAGACTGACTGTGCAACACAACAGTACCACAAACGGAGCATTGGACCGCAGGTCGTATGCCTAAATGGGACAAAGGAAACATCCGGCTGCATACTTTCTCCAGATTTGCTTCTGGGTCACTGGGACAATTTCTGTTTGGTCAGAGTTGCATAAGTTAACAACGTTCTTAATAAACTTAATACACGATTCAGGCCACTGCAGTGACTCATTACGTTTTGTAGAGCACAATAAACAATGGCTTGTTAGTGTTCAGTAGAACGTCCCCACAGCGTCAGGAGATGTATGGAGTGCTCATTTTAGAAACTTGTTGTGACAGCTCTGTGCTCCCTGGAGAACGAGCATATTGTGTACTGTCTGTTATCATGTATGCTCTGTGTTTTCAGCATTTCTAGACAAACCATAATAGTCTTTTAAGACCATGATTAGATGCACAAACACTGATTTTCTTTGGCCTGAACTTGTTAAATGATACAACTTATTTTAACTCACACTGGGTCTTTGCCAAGTGCGTTCCATCAGCCAAACTTTAACTGAGGCAAATAATCCATGTTCTGCCTTTCATGTATTTTAAGCAGCTATGTGTATGTGTACCCACTTTTAAGATGCATGTATTTATTTTGATTTAAACTAAAAGGCACAGGCCAAGTTGGCTCCTTCCTTTCAGTGCAGCTTCTAAAAAGCTTTTTCTGTTACAAGATGAGCTGCAAGGTGGCTCGCTTGGAATATGTATAGCATGTATATTGTGCCTAACTTCTGTAGACCCACAGGGAAAACATGCAGAATGTAAAGATCAGAGTTCATTGAAGTGGAATAATTCAATTTATGCTTCTTGTCAGCTCAACTTACAGCACAACTAGGTCAGTGATGCAGACATGACACACACGGTAACTTTGATATTTTTCAACTCGGACCCTATTTTACTGTATTTTTGTGACTAATGGAAAGAAAAATTTTTGAAATTGGTCGAGTATTGAGCGAGAGGGCTGCAGCCAGCAGCCGAAAAACAAATTTACCTTCACTAAAAGTGCTTGTTTTTTGCCTCTGACCGGCTCAGATTGTTCTTTGAAATGTCTGACAACTTTATAGAAAGGATCCCTACAGAGATAGACCTTTTTGTTATTGCGTAATATCATTTTTGGTTCAGAAACAGCCCCAAAATCGCAAACATGCTAAAATCAGTGTTTATTTAAATGTAGTCTGGTGGGTTTGACTATGGACATTTAGGGGCTGTTTTTGGTGAAACAAAAAGGATCGTAATCTATAACAAAAGGGTCTATCTCTGTAGGGATCCTTTCCATAATGTTGTCAGACACGTAGAATAAAAATTTGAGCCTGTCAGTGGTTGAAAGGAATATTGTAATTGGAAAGCGAACATGCCAAGAGTGATTACATTGCCGCTTGTTTCGCGTCTGCTCAGTGCTGGAACAATTTGAAAAGCTGTTGTATCCATTAGTCACTGAGACACATATAAACAGGAAGCTGTAAGCTATCGTGTTAAACTTTTGAGTTTGTATCTTGTGTACTTTTTTAGTGTCCAGCTTTCCCAGAGTTTCAGTTAACACCGTTGACCTGACTGTGTTTCTCTTTGTTTCCCAGACTGACAGAGGAACAGAGTTCAGGCGTTCACACCACATGGTGAGGAAGACCACGCTGTACGACATGGGCGTAGACCCCACCTGCAAGTACGCTGCTGTCGGCTGTCAGGACCGCTGCATCAGGTGAGTGTGTGGGTATGTGTGTGTGTGTTTATGAAAGTTCATGAGGTCAGCAACAGGAAACAAAAATGTTTTTCCTTTTGACTGCAGGATTTTTAACATCAGCAGTGGCAAACAGAAGAAACTCTACAAGGGATCACTGAGTGAGGACGGCAGTCTGCTCAGGGTAACATGTCTCTCCCCACAGACTCCAAATGTTCCCTCCTTGTACATACAGTGTATTGACTCCTTGTCCTCTGTCCTGGCAGGTTCAGCTTGATCCGTCTGGTCAATACGTGGCCACCAGCTGCTCCGATAAAAACATCTGCATCTTTGACTTCTACACTGGGGAGTGTGTCGCCACTATGGATGGACACTCTGGTAACAGAACACACACCTGCACACACACATATTTTATGTTGTCAGCCTGAGCTGTGTGTAAATTACAGGTCTGTAGCAGAGAGGGAGGGATCACCACCTGCATGTGCCAGACACTGTAATGAAACTAGCTTTGCCATATTTTCTGTTTTGCAGAGATTGTCACGGGGATGAAGTTCACCAACGACTGCAGGCATTTGGTTTCTGTGTCGGGGGACAGGTGAGAAACTGTCCTGTTTTTGGCTGCTTTTGATTCACTCCAGTAATGTAGATTTTACTGGAGACAATCCAACATTTAGAATGTTATAATTTAGTTGTATTTCTAAAAAGATAACAAGCATTAGGTCTATATTTAAATTAAGAGCTCTAATAACAACGAAGCATCCGAACATGAATCGTGCACAAGAATAAACCTACTGTTGAAAACCCAGACCGGAGCATCAAATGAAAATCATCTTCAGCCACTGCTGCCAGAGGAAATGAGTGGGGAAATGTGTTTGCAGACAGTTTCCTCAATAGTGGAGCTGAAATGAAATGTTGAATTTTTAATGCCCGAATGCTTTTATCTCCCAGCTGTATCTTTGTGTGGCGACTGGCTCCAGAACTGACAATCAGCATGAGAGAGAGGCTCTGCCAGCTCCGACAAAACCCAAACACACCACCCAGCAAGACCTCCAGCCTCAGGTGACGACACACACCACCGTCTGGGAACTTTACAATCATTCCATAAACCTAGTGCTGATGATAAAAGTACAAAGACATCAGGATGCTCATCATGTTGTCTCTGACGGTGTTACTACAGGCGAGAGGTGTACAGTGCCCCCACTCTGGGTGGGCTGTCCTCTGACAGTGACCGTGAGCAGGAGGAAGACGACGGAGCAGAGAATGACGACCCCAATGACCCAGAGGACATCGCAACTAATAGTTCATCTGACAGCAGCCATGGAGAGGAGGACACAGGTACTGTGACGTGGAACTGAGCTGGTGGTTAAGGAAGATTTATAGCTGTACATAGGCCTACACTGTCAGTTTAATGTAGAAGAATAAACCCCACTTAAGGAGCCAGATGTATAAACAATATATACCTACGAAAACCGTGCGTACACCCTTACCCACACATATTTATAAAGGAAGAATGTGCAGTTAGAGTGTGCACACCTCATGTATTCTTCAGACCAGGCATATATAATGAGGAGGAGACTGAATTTAAGTTAAGAGCCAGGTAAAATATTGATCAAAGGGACATTTACAAAGCCAATTTAAATAATTTACGAATGATGAATTTCATTATTCGTTTTATTTACATTTGAGCCATGATCTCATGATCGTTTATTTTATCCTAAAGCACTTTGTAAAGTCAGTTTCAACATGAGCACTGTGAATGAATCGATCATCCCTTTGACATTTAATAACAACGATGATTGAGATTTTACCCCGATGACGGTTTGCAGAAATGTGTGATGAATTAGTGGTATGGGCTCTATAAATATCCACAGCCGTGTGTGATGACAGATGTTCTGGCACCGCTGGAGAAGCTCACCGTTGCAACACAGTCGGTGAAACTGCTTCTCTTTCTGTGCCATATTTCTCATCGACAGGCCTAATAAGTGGTGCAGTGGGCACAAGTATCAACATGCAAGCGTGTGTTTAAAGGCATTTCTGCATCCATTGATGGTGAACTGTGGATGTGTAAATGAGGCTCGTGCAGGTGCGCCCTGCTCCACAGTGATTGAGATTTATAAAAGAGAATCAGGCGTAGCTGCAGATTTATAAATCTGATGAAAAGAATGTGCGTGCACAGTTCTGCCTTTGTGCATACAGACAGTTTTAGTTGTGAATCTACAGAGAATTTTATGCATCTGACCCCTGGTGTTTAGCAAGGGAATTAAGGATTCCATGTAATAGTAGCAGACCACATGTTGCCCATTCAGGTGTAACCACTTGTGTTAGAGAATACCTCCCATCTGTAGTAATCCTGACCTTTATTCTCTCTGTGGAGAGCAGCGTTGACAAGAACAATCCAGACATCAAACGAGTATTATGTCATTATTTTGAAGCTTCTGATAATTGTGCTCTTTGATTCAACAGGTGGCTCAGATGAAGGACAGGACTGGGAGCTGACGAAGGTTGGTGGTTATATTCAGTGTGAAAACACTGTTATCAGTTTACACAAAATAATTAACATTGGAAAAGCTCTTTTTTGGTCTATTATTGGTGTTTAAAGTCATATAAAATCCAATTAATCACAGATACAAATCGCCCCCCCAGAGAGCACCATCCCCACTGTACTATTAGTAATCAAACAGAATCAACTGCAGAAACATTTTCAAGTCATAGCACAATTAAATTTAATGTGACGAAGGTCATTGATAAGAAAAAATAAAATAATAAATAATTCAAATTAAAAGAAATACTCTAGACAATAAAAAGAAAATAAAAAATGACTAGTCAGAGAAAAATACCAAAAAATAAATAGCTAATAGCTAATTAAATTAATACAAGCTACAAATAAATGAGTGAAATACATATGATGTCAGTATTACAAGACTGCAGTGTCAGTGGTGTCCATTTTTTCTATATAGGTCAAAAATGGTTGTAGTGTAAAATTTCTGAGCATACTCTTTTGTAAATTTTCTTTAACCCTTTGAAATCTGAGCAAATTAGCTTGATTTATTTCAAAAACACAGGAAGAAGGCAATAAACAACGAAAGAAAAAATGACCTAAACAAATTTGCAAGATATTACTAAAACGAGAAAATTAAAAATAAGAAAATTAGTAAACAAAACCAAACAAACAAGGAAATGACCTGATAAAAATTACAATAATTCTGTACCACAATTTTAAATATGTAATAATAATTATTATGAATATGATTTTTTCCCCAATTTTTAAAAATAATTTTCTAAATCTATTAATTTTTGCCATTTGCTCATTTCCTTTTGTCCCCATGATTTTGAAAGAAATCACACCAATTTGCTCAGGTTTTAATTTTAGTGAAAGGCGTCTGAAAGCAGTACAAGCAAAGTAATGATGCTCTAGGTCTCAAAGGGTTAAAATCAGATGATGTATTTAGTCTTAAATCCATAGTTTAAAGGTTGGAGGGATTTTTCCTTCCATATAAGCGGTATAAGTCGTGTTGCTAAAAGAGATGCAAAAGCTATTTCTGTGCCTGAGGTGTACATGTGCATTGTACCTGTGGAACTACTCCAAATACTGCAGTAGTAGCAGAAATGCTCTTTAATGCTTTTGTATTAGAAATAATGATAGTGAAGACAGTTGTCATTGCACCGTCCCATCACTCATTTTACATCTTGTTATTATCATAGAAATAAACTGGGCAGGAAACATATTTTCTAAAGAGAGATGATGATGATCGAATGATGAGACAGCAAAGTGGGAAGACTGCGATAAATGTTCTTTATTAGACGTTTGGGAGGGCTGCTTCTACTTGAGTGTGGGTGTCCATTATAATGCAGTGTGTAATATTTTTCTTTTGTGTACTCGTGTGTGTGTTCCAGTATTTTTTATTGTTGTTGTTTCATGCTAGGTACATCCTATTTATGTCTTCCCTTAATTCAATTCCTGACAACTGCTTTATAGTTTTCAGTAACAGCATTTAATAATCAGTACAGGCTTTACGTATGTAGAACAGACAGTGAGCTGCTGCTCCAGTTTACTGTCTCTCTTTGTTTTCTGTCAGTACTTCACAAGGACTGAAGTGGCTTAAAGATCTCCGGCTTCTCTCTACCACACATGAGATTAAATCCTCTGTGATGTGGATGTGGGAATCCCCCGCTGAGTTTAAAAGTGATAAAAAGCTACGTGAAATCTAAAGTGTGGGTAATGAAAACTAGATCACACAACCTCATCTGAGATGTGTACATGTGGAGGAAAACTGACACTTAAGTGCTTTAATTTCCAGAACTGCTGTATCACATAATTCATTCATAGGGCATAGGTTTTATTTCAACATACAGAAGGGGCAGAGCAGGGGGTCTTAGTGGAAATGTCTTTATTATGTTAGACAGGTGAAAGTTCATAACATAAAAAATATAGTGGAATATAATGCAGTGAGGCCGTCACTAAATATGTATATATTTATTCTCGTTTGTTGAGACAGCACACATGTAGCCATGATTTACTCTTCAGTCCTCCTGTGTGTCTTTTATTTGGGGAAGTAATCCTTTTAAATGTGCATTTTATTTACAAACCACAGGACTTTTACAGCTCTTTTGTGTTATAGCAAGATTTCTGCTGATGTTCAAAAGTGTCTGCGCATTCATAACAAATCCCACTCATCTGTGTTTGCTGAGAAGTCGAGAATAAAGTAATTAATTTGAGAAAAATGTCATTATAATGAGAATAAAGTCATAATACCTAAATAAAAACCTGTCCGTTTCCAGCATTAAAAACCTGTGTTGGTGTAGTGCCTTTAGAACTAAAGGTAAACCCTACAGAGGTGTACCCTAGACCCTGGGGGTTAGGGTTAGGGTTTCCACTGCAGACAGTACTCTTAAATGTGGGTGGGGTTGCTGTCACTCACTGCTTCATCCAGCTTAAGCTCTATTTCCTCTTTACCGGTGACACAGTAAAGCATCTTTACCTTGTTTATCTTCCATGTAACGGCCTTTGCATCCCAACATGTTTAGAATAAAAAGAAACAAATTGCAGTGAGAGTCGCTCTCGATGGGATGTTTAAAAATAGCAGGTTTGTGCATTGAGTCCTTGTCAGACAAGAGCAGGGGGTGTAGTGCTGACGGAGCGCACTGGAGCGACACTCCAACACATTTTTTTTTTCTTTGAGTGAGGATAAGAATGTATGTCTGTTGAAATTCATATACATTTTTTAATGCTTAAAGATCCAGTCATCACTAAAGCATGTGTCATTCAAGAGAGACAATAAAAACAAATGGAACGGTCAGAGTGGTCGAATAGAAACTAAAGGTTGTTGATTGATTCAGGTTGTCAGCTCATGCATTGAGTAATATTACAAGTGAACTGTTAGCTGCCAGCAGTCGGCACAGTCAGTCAAATTATTTTTCACAGTCTAAAGCTGCTGCTTGCCATGGTATGAACAGTTGTTACATAAACCTGCCACACCTCACCCCTGAGCAAGAGTGACAGTCCTCTACTGACCAATCAACGAACTGCAGTGTTTCCAGCTCCACCTTTTAGTACCAGATCAGTGTACTAGGTACCCCAACAGAGGGGGGACGGTACTGTTGGTACTATTCACAACTTTTCACGATGGAAACAGAAAAATAACCGTTTAAATGTGCATCAATCTAAACTGAACTGCCTGGTGGAAATGAGGCTTTAATCTATGCTAGGGACGATTCAGTATACGCTGGATATCGGTAGAGACCTTTTCCTACTGAATTCTATGCCAGTGGTACTTAACTTACGAACCACGGGTCAGTTCGGGAGCCAGGTGTCCCGCCAACCATTTTGTAATTCACAATAAAATTCATTTTTTGTTCTTTGTATGTAAATAAGGTGCCAGAGTGCATAAAAAAACATCAAAAGAGAGCTTGTTTATCAGAAAAAGTGCCACGGGAGGATTCACAGGATCACAACAGAGGTCTGGCACTAATTATTTATATTATTATATATGTTAACTGGCCACTGGCTGCTCGTACGTTCCCATCTTATTTGAGAGAAACTGTGGTTCACTGTGTCAACTCTCCTGTACATCCTCTCTAGCATGGAGTCGTCAGCCAGGTCACACCTGACTCCTCTAAGCGCCCTCGGAGGCGCTGGTCTCATCGTATGGGCTCTGTGGAGCTGATGGTGAAATCCATGCTGGACCTGAGGCATCTGGAGACCTTTGCTCCCAAGAATAACTGCCCCCCTCATGACAAAGAGAGATGCACCACGTCCAGTGTCCAGGAGCCCATGGTATGTGTTAATCTATGTCTGAGAGAGAAGGAGGGAGCTGTCCATATGGATCCATGTGTGTGTAATTGCTCCGCTAAGAAGCCTCATTTTCTGCAGCTGCAGTTGGAGGAGAGAGCCAAGAGGCATCGGCCCTGGCCACATGCTGACTGGCTGTCCTCACACCCATCCAAGGGCATCAGGGGGACTGATGGAGCCGTGTTCTACCCCGAGGAGAACGAGGGCGACGCAGGTCTGCAGGGCAGGTAAATCCCCAGTCAGTACACATGCTTTCACTCCAGTGCTCACAGTGACACAGAGACAACAAAAGTGCCTTTTCTATTCTTGGTTTAATGTTTCCCTCCGCCTCTGTTCCTCATTGTTTCTGCCTCTCTCTGTTTTCATACGTCAGTGGTTACATGGTGCGGGAGCAGCACTGCAGGATGCAAGGGCGAGGGAGCCGCAGCGACAGCAAGGAAAGTCGCAGCCCGGACAGTGCCTGCTCTCTGGGCTACGACAGCAGGGACTCCAGCCCGGATCGTGTGCGGGATGGTGAGGTCTCACTCTCATCACAACGATGAAAAAAATGTTAAAGGAACACACAAGAATGATGGAGACTAATTTAATTTATTAACTGACTTTTGCTAGAATTACAACACAAGACATGAAGATTAAAGCCACTTCTGTATGTGTGCAATTTGAATATGTCCCACGTTGGCACCCCCTAATGGTTCTGTTAGAAACGACACCGGCAGACAGTAATGCATGCTTCTCTTAACAGGAGTGTACTTTATTTCTGCAAACAAAAAATGCCCCATTGTTATTCATTTTAGATGTTAAAATCATGCCTGATTTCTACAGATGGTTGCTTTTGGTGAAGGTTTTTCTTGCTTCTTTCCTTTTCTTCAAAAGGCTGAGCTTGAATGAAACTGACTGTCTGAGGATTTTAAAAGATAACAAACTTGTATGCAATATTTCAGTATTTTTTATCTGTCTATGTTCCTGTTTCAAGTTCGAAATGTCTTCTCAAGGTGTGCGGAGAAGACGGATTTAAAATGAAAAGCCAAAATGTACGTGAAAGCCACAGTGTCTCTTAAACATACAGTAAAGCCGATACCTGCCGAGAGGGATTTGAGCACACAGAGGCTAGGATTTTTTCCCCAGTTTCAAACCTGATAGTAATATGTCAGATAATACGACCACATAAGCCTCAGTCATCTGGCTGGTCATTTGTTAAGGATTATCTGGTTCCTACCTGCTGTATGCAGCAGATGTACCAAGGTCAAGGAGGGTTTAGAGGGGCTGTTTACTTATATCCCTTTGCTTTCTCAGATTCTGCAGATGTGGAGTCACTGAGCCAGGACAGCTCTGATGAGGAGAGTAAAGAGATGGGGAAGCAAAAGGCAGGAGTGACGAGCATGGACGAGGCTCTGAGGACAGTGACCGACACTGTGGACGTCGGTCAAGAAGATTTCCTCAAGCAGAACTTTGAGACGCTGGAAGAGAGCTGCAGCATGGGTAGGAGAGGCCAAACACTCACGTGCAAACTGTTGTTTGGATGTGAAACTGATGCTGTTTCCAGTCTTTATGCAAAGCTAAGCTAACTGGCTGTGTCTTCAAATTCAACGGACAGATAAAAGACTGGTATCTCTCTTTTAATCTAACCCTGGACAAGACAATTAATGCGCTTATTTCCCAAAAGGTTGAACTATTCCTTTAGATTATTTCACATGCACGTAGACATGCAAACAATACTGATCAGCCTTTCTGTCTCTCTTCCACTGTCTGTTTTTCATTCTTTTTCCTCTCTCTGTCTCTGTGTTTTTCTTCTCTCTTTGCCACTGTCTCTGTTTTCCTTTTTGTTTTTTTTGTTCCTAACGCTTGATGTCTGTCCACAGCTGAGCAGAGCGGAGTCCCCAGGCTCAGTATGTCTTCACGCTTCCTGGCCAGAGGACATAATAACAGGTACTGCTGACCACTTCAGACCAGTGTGGATTCACAGCTATAATTACAAACCCATGTGGAATCACGCACACTGCTCTGCTAAACCATCTGTGTACCCTCCAGATCGAGGCAGGCTGTCACTTTAAAATGACATTGTTATCTTTGTTTGGGTAATTTTATGTGGATAAGAAGTCTGTTATTTTGTCCTTGAAAGTTTTTAACCTTTTTATCTTCATTAACAGTGACTGTGCAGCGAGACATTCAACTGTTAAAGATGTTTTTTTTTTTAAAGAAATAACTATTTCATGCTGAGATTTACATGAGAAGATAGAAAGCACTCTCATGTCTGTACGCTAAATATGAAACTACAACCAGCAGCTGGTTAGCTTAGCACAGGGGTCAGCAACCTTTACTATCCTAAGAGCCAGTTTTTGGCCTTTATTTTTTTAATTTGTCTGGATCCGCAATGCAGATGTGTGCTTTATAATAAAGGTTACACAGCCTATCTGTCCACTCACTACCAGGTTTCTGTTTTCCTCTGAGCCTTTTTTCTGTTTTGAATTTGGAATCAATAGCTAGCCTAGCAAGGGAGACTACATTAGGGTGACCATAGTTTGATTTCCAAAAAAGAGGACATTCGGCCGGCCACAACATAGCCTACTTAAATGATACTCGCAGTTTACTCAAAGATGCCTTATCATTTTAATATATTTAAAATTTATATGTATGGATAGAAAATTCAGTTATATTACAAAATAATATCTCTCAAAAACAGAAATTCAGATAGGCCCCAATAGGGGACACACACACACACTAGAGTGTGGCGATCTGAGCCCGATGGTACCCGACAGGTCGGCCGGGTTTGGTCAGAAATGTAGCTATAAATTGTATTTGGGCTCAGGTCGGATTTGGTCAGCTTTCAGTGAAAATGTAGTGTAAAAATAAATAAAATCCTATTGTCTGTACTGTTTATTGCTTGGGCACTGTTATTTACGTGACAACACATGAACATAACACACACAGACACACACTGGCTGTTTGTTTCTACCTCTCCCCTCGCTGGAAGTCTCGGACCTCCAGCCGCCCGCCTCCACCTTGATTAAACGCTGAAAATAAAATAAAAGAGGGAGACAGGTGTCTCCTATTTTATCTTATTTTGTTTTATTTCTCCCTCTCCTCTCGCTAGAAGCGTCGGACCTCCCGCCTCCAGCTCCCGTCTCAAACACGGAGGTCTCCCTCTCCACTGAGCACACCCAGCCTGTTAAATACCCTGTAACCGTAACAACTGTGTGACACAAACTTAGTGCTTTGGTCATTAAATAATGTTGGGCTCGGTTCGGGTTCGGACAGAAATATGCGGCCCGTGCCGCACTCTAACAAACACATACACAAACACACGGAAAACCGGACATTATCATCAGTTTATAAAAAACCCCCGGACGCCCCAGACGGGACGTGAAAAGTGGACATGTCCGGGCAAAAGAGGACGTTTGGTCAGCCTAGACTACATCTCTAACTAGCCACTGCTATTTAGCTTCACCACAATTTAGGAGAAGGCACCAGGTCAGAGACATACTATGCACACTTTAGTTGACAGAATGTGTATCGGTTTCATATTTTTACAACTGGGAAATGTAAGAATCACTTTACATCTATAGCAATAAAAATGAAAATCTAAAATATACTTTTTGTAAAAGCCACATAGAGCCACTTGCAAGGAGCTAAAGAGTTGCATGTGGCTCCAGAGCTGCAAGTTGCCTACCACTGGCTCAGCACACAAAAACAAAAAACCTGGGGAAACAGCTCACATATTATCTGGATTATTATTTTGATTTTGAGGTGAACTGTCCCTTTAAGTTAATACAAAGCTACGGGCATCAGCTGTTTAGCTTAGCACCAAGACTGTACATGGCTAGCCTGGCTCTTTCCAAAGGTAACAAAATCTTCCTACCAGCACCTCTGAAGCTCACTAAGAAACATGTTATATCTTGTTTATTTTAATTTGTAAAAGCATGTTGTGGTTTACTGGTGAGCACCAAAATAATGAGTTGGACTATTTCTTGGTCAAACACAGTAGATAGCCAGGTTAGCCATTTCCATTCTGCTTTCTAAATTAAGCTAACCAGCAGCTTAATATTTACCCAACAAACATGAGTTTGATAAATCTTCTCCTTACAATCTCTGCAAGGAAGTGGATAAACATATTTCCCAAAATGTCAAACTATTCCATTAACCTACCTTAGAGGAATACATTGTGTATTTACTCTTGTGCTCCCCTGATCCTGTAATGCCTTCTATCTGTGTAGGGGCATGCCTCCGTTTGGCAAAGTGCACGGGAAGGAACAAGGCAGCCACTCTGCTAAACCCCCTGTGTCAAAAGTTCGGCCCTTGATGGAAGATAGCCAGAGCAGAAACACGGATGATAAGACCCCCGTGTCCCCGGGCAGGATGGAGGGGCCAAAGTAAGAAGACAACACAGACTCAGAGCTGCATGGCTTTATTTTTAGACAAGTGCTGCTTTGGCAGACTTGGATTAATGAATCATAAATGCAAAAGATCGAAAAAGCACAAAAAGGTACTCTGTTTGCATGAATAAATGATTTTAAAACATTAATAAGTGCACATTGCAAGAATGCAGTGTAATACTAACTTGACAAAACAGGACTTTTCTGAGGTCATGCTAGGACACTGTTTACACATTCCTACTCTAAGAATCATGCTGTTACTTACAGATTAATAATGGATAAGGGTAAACAAAAGCAGGGATAAACTGAACTCTCATCTAAAGTAATTATGCACATGCAAATAAAGTAGACTAATTTACTACAGCGTGGGCAAAATGTAGCACAGACACGAGAGAAAATGAAGACATGAATCAACAGAAGTGATATTTACTCTGGCTTGTTTTTGCCAGTTTTGTGGCTGAATTTTTTTGTGTGCAGTGATCTCAAAGCTGCTGTGCTGCCTCTCAGCAGGGTCGATGCTCCAGAGAGAGACTGTACTCCCGTCCTCAGATCCCTGAAGAAGAAAAGGAGTTCAGGGTTCCACTTGTGGAGGTTGTCCAACCCTCCATCCAAAGCTCCACTGCTGTCGGACAGCGCGACGGGTTTGCAGAAATCACACTCTGCCCAGAATCTGGCTTCAGACCGTAGGTTTCTTCATCACTTTGTTAATTTATTGCTGTGTATTTTCTGCCATTTCAATAATGTTTGGGTCAGGGTATTCAGTGAGCCACATTAGCTCCATTAGGTGTCCATTATGAGACAGTTAAAGCTGAGGTAGGCAGATTTGTTTTGGCTTCACTGAGCAAAAATCCCATAATATACTTTGAGGTTATTGTAATTTAAGTGGTCTGAGAGAACTCTAGACCTCTGCACCTCCTCTTGGCTCTGTTTTCAATCTTTAATGGATCTAGCCTGTGACAGGAGACACTGGCCAATCTCAGGTCATTTCAGAGATTGGCTGTTCTTCAAATGCTGATGTGCATGTGCGTCTTTTCAGTAAAAGTCTCATTTAATGGCAAAATCCTGCAGAGAAAGTTGCTATTCCAGTATTGGCAACAACTGTCTACACTGCACAGCAACTCAAAAAGGGAAGACAGACTTAGAAATAGTCTAAAAGAGTCTGACCATAAATTAAATAAAACGTGTCAGTATCTGCGTCATCAGTCTTTCAGAGATGGAGAGAAAATGTTGCTAATAGTTTAGCCTTCTGCTAACCAAAGCCAAAGCCTCACAGCTGTGGCTTCAAGTTCACATTTATGTAGCGTTCATTAGCGAGAGCCTTGGATCAGTGTGTCCTCCACATCACACCGCTACAGACCACCTCAATGGGAGGAGAGCAGGCAGCAGCTAACCTAATTTTAGCCAGTGCAAACCGCAGCTCTGTGGGACGGGACACCCCTGACTACCCGTGAGATCAGCAAACTTTCTGTTGCTGCTGTTACACAGGTTTGACCCAGAGCTGCTGCTGGCCACCAGCCTGCTGTGACAGGTGCTGGAGAGTTTGTGCTAGCCAAAATTGAGTTGCTACAGCCAGCGACAGAAGCCCAGTCTCCTGAGCTGCTGCCCACTCTCCTCCTGGAGAAGCATTTCGCAGCAGTGGTAACAAGGAAGACGGGCCGCAGGCTGCAGTCAGCTAATTCTTTTCTCATTTGTGGTCTGATAAGCAGAGAAAGAGAGCAGGGTTTCGAGGAGCTGAGTGAATGAGCTGCGTACAACTGTGCAATGAAATAAGATAAAATAAATCAGTGAATGGGAAACACTGGGTTACTGTGTGAGGCGTGTTCATATACATGTTGTTTTCTGTTGTTCAAAAATGTATTTAAACATAATATGAAAGGTGATCTTCTAAAAAAATGTGAACTACGTTTCCTGGAGTTTTCAATAAGTAAAATAAATGAATATGTTGTTAAAACAAATCTCCACCTCTACATTTGTGTCTCCAGCTCCCCACTCCCCTCTGCCCTCTAGTGACCGAAGGGAGTCGTGCAAGAGACCTCAGCATCTCTTCCTGGATCACGACACTCCCAAGCCTTCCTTCCACTTTTCCTCACCCTCCTCCGGCTCCCCCCAGTCACCCCGGTCCCCCCTGCCCTGGGACAGCCCCAAACTCAAACCCCTCCACTCCTACATGAACCCCACTGCCAGCTCCATGGCCAAAAGCAGCCGCTCCACCTCCCTGGGAGAGGTGATCCAGCCGGGCTCTCCGCCTTGCTCCCCTTCCTTCCTCAGACTCAGGAGGTCATGTGGGGAGCTGGATGCCACACCTCCCTTGCTCGCTTCATCTCCTCTCGCCGCTGTCCCCTCTACTGTCTCATCAACATCATCCCGCTCACCGTGTCCTCTACCAAACGGTCCCGCCCCAACTCCTCCTCATGCTACAGCCACAGTTTCACCCACACCTGTTACCCAGAACATCCCGCCCTCCCGCATCCCGCTTCCCAAACAGCCTCTCAGCCCTCGCCGCAGCCTCTGTCTGGAGGCGATGTCGAGCCTCAGTTGGTCTGGAGACTCAGCGAGGGCTTCTACTCCTACCAGAGACTCTGACATTGCACCTACTCAAGGAAGCAGAGGTTAGTCAGCCTATCATATGCTGTGAATGTGCCTCATGAACGCACAAGTAAGGAACCAGAAAGCAGATTTCCTGTGTGTAATTTTGTGTGTGTTCTTCAGCACTGAGCAGGCATCTAAGTTTGGATCTGTCTTTGCCAAGTTGTCTACCAGTGAGGCAGAAGAGAGAATCGATTTCAGAGAGGTACGTTTTTACACCACTTCATGTAGCTGCATTGTGTTTCTTTTTAAAACTGACACACATTTCTGACATTTCTTCTCAGCGCCAAGGAGCCGTCACAGGTGGCTGTGGCCAAAGAGTGCCCTCTGGTGCCCGAACAGACCCACACATCATTGAGTGCCGATCCCCAGCCAGGTCTGGCCTCCCAGAACTCTTTAACCCACCTGTCCGTCGCTACCGTTCCTCCTCTTCATCACTGCATCTCTTCACGCTGCTCGCCTTCTGCCTTCTGGCCTGTGTGTCAGTCTGCTTGTCTGTCTCACGTCCCTCTGTCTGTCTCTGTGCCCTGCTGCTGTCAACACTGTGATTACATGGGTGAGTCCACGGATGAAGGGGCGTGGGAAGTTTTGAATTTCACTCTGTTGGTTGATTTTGGGATCTGATGGTTGAGGAACACAAGCGTGACAACAGGCTCAATAGTGAACAGATGGTTGCTACAGAGTTTATTGAACACACTCACGCTCCTTTGATGGACAGACCCTTTTCTTTTGGACTCTTCATGTCATGCACAAAGGATGTTGTACCTGATAAGAGAGTAGAGCTGCACAGTTAATTGAATACTAATCACGTGCATAATTTTGGCTGCCCACAATTAAATGAACATGATCGACCGCGATACTGATGCATAATGTAGTCAACATTACCTTACTTAATCCATCTTTGTCCAGTGTCAACTCAGACATCCATATTTCCATCAGGAGAGACTCGTTCTGAGAGAAAAGAATATTTATTTACATGTGCACAGGAGTATGAGAATTGAAAAAAGTCTTTGGCGATTAGACCCCATCATGATGTCATTTATTTCAGGAGGGTGGTAAAGACCTAGTAGATTAGGGAACCCCCCCTATGGAGTCTAGACGCTGGTGGTGGTGATGATATGAGATGAAGAGGGAGCTGAGGTTCTGGATCTTGGAGGAGGGTGAGACAATTCTGCCTAAAATGACAGCTGACAGAAGCAGAGAGGAGAACAGATTTAAAGTTTGGCAGTAAAAACATGAATGACTGAAGGAGATCCTGGCAAAGTTTGATTGGCTAACTGGGAGAGAGAGCACCTATAGTCAGCTGATTGGAGGAAGTGCTGGAAGTGGGACAGAGAGAAAACTGTGAATGAATATAGCGTAAAGAAAGTCTTCCTGATTGAACTTACGCTGAGCTTCATTAGCAAAGCTGTGCAGCACACCATGGTGCCACAAGCATTGTAAAAAAAATAGATAAATAAATACAGCAGTGAGTAGATACCCATCCAGCCTTAAAAACCAAACTGAAATCAGTAACCAACACAATGCAGTCCAGTTGTTTTCCATTTGTGTGTCCAGTAAACACTTTACATGTAGTTGTATTCTGTGATGGCATGTTTATTTTTAGTTTGCTCATATTTTGGGTACAATTTTATTTATATTTTGCCTCTAAAGATTCACTGAATTTAGGTGAAGAAGAACCGTATTTAAAGTCCTAATTTGATGCGAAGATTTTGTACATTAGCAGGAATGCATTCTCGGAACCCATCGGCTGTATTCGGCGTCTGACTTCCGGCAGACGGCGATACAGCCTCTAGGGGCAGACCCTGATTTTTTGGCATTCCGGTTTGATTTGGGCAGAGGAGGCGAATTTCCGTTTCCAACTTCTGTTTATATATAAATAAATATGGTGAACCATTGCGATGGATTCAGAGTTTGCAGTGACTCCAATTATGTTCCGCCTCGTTAGTTCACCGCACGGAGCGTTTAACCTGGCAACAACTGCAGTCGGCTCAAACGTGATTGGTCAATATCACGCGGACTACAAACAGCCTACAACCGGAAACCAGGGCTCTTTCGCTCTTCTTCCGGAGGCAAGATCTCTGGGGTTTGCCTACAGACTCAACATTCACTGAATGTAGAGTCTGTATATACAGTGGTGGAAAAAAGTTTTCGGACACCCCATGCATTTGTGAAATATTGCATTAAGAATCACTCTTAGGTCTTCAAGTGCAATTTCTTTTAGTACAGTCACAGCCAAAATACTAAATAAATCCTAAAAAAGCCATTAAAAACTTAAAATTGATTGGTTCCATAAAAATACATAAGAAATTTTGAATATTGGGTCATTTTGGTACCAGTGATGAAGGTCGTTCTTTTTATTAAAAGACACAATTTCGTGTCTACATAAAGCCAGCACATTTGAAAGTTCTTCAGACACAAAAATGGCTAAAACAAGGAACCTAACGCAGGAAACACGCCTGAAGATAAAGATTCTCAGCCAGGAAGGGTACAGCTGCCGCCAGATAGCCAGGAAGTGCAGATGCAGTCCTTCAGCAGTTGGATACACTCTGCAGAAATACAGACGAACCAACAGCTTGGAAGACAAACCAAGATCTGGGCGTCCAAGGGTTTCTTCAGCAAGAAATGACCACATCCTGATCCGCATGTGCAGGAAAAAACCGCCGAATGACATCACAAGAGCTTCAGCAGCAGTGGTCAAACCAAACTGGTGTCCAGTGTTCCACCCGCACTGTACGTGACTGACTTTTAGATCATGGCTTAAGGTCCTACAAGGCTATCAAGAAGCCCCTGATCAATGAGAGACAGAGGTTAGCCCGGCGTCGTTGGGCCCAGGCACACAAGAACTGGACAGCCAGGAACTGGAAGAAGATTTTGTGGTCAGATGAGTCCAGTTTCCAGCTTTATCTTCCTCCTACTAATGTGAGGGTACGCAGAAGGCCAGGCGAAGCATTATCTCCAGCATGTACAGTACCTACTGTCAAGCATGGTGGAGGCAGTATCATGGTTTGGGGATGCATGAGTGCTGCTGGTGTTGGTCATCTCACTGTCTGTGATGGCACACTGAACTCTACCAAGTATTGTACCATTCTCGAAACCCACATGCTCCCTTCTGCGCGTGCACTGTTCCGTCGAGGTAAAAACTGGATGTTTCAACAAGATAATGACCCTTGCCACACATCCAAGGCCAGTAGAACTTGGCTGCAGGAGCACAGTATCCAGGTCTTAGAGTGGCCAGCTCAATCCCCGGACATGAGCCCCATTGAAAATCTGTGGTGGATTATCAAAAGGTCTGTTTCAAAGCATAAACCAAAGAATTTAGAAGAATTAAAAGCAGTAATTCAAGAAGAATGGGACAAGATTACCCCTCAACAGTGTGAAAGGCTCGTGGAGAACATGCCAGCCAGGATTAGAGCTCTACTACGTGCCAATGGCAGGACTACTAAATATTAATTTGATGATGTGATGGTTTATTTATTTTTTGTTCAGTTTTGAACACATTCTCTGTTATTTGTTGACTTTGATACCGACAATGTTGAGAACTGACATATTGAAACTGTCAAGAATTTAGTTTTGTTAGTTTTTCTTGTAAACAATAAACAAAAAAATATAATTTGTATTTGTTTGTATCTGTCTAATGCAGCCACACCTTTTGAAACACAAAAAAGATTTTTCCACAAATATTTCTGATAATATTTGAGATTGTGTAAAATTTTAAGGGTGTCCGAAAACTTTTTTCCACCACTGTAGAGACTAGCAGGAATGTAGCACAACATGAAAGTGAAAATAGTGCTCTTTATTTTTAAATGTGAAGGTGCAATTCAATTAATAATCGTAATCTCAGTATTGATCACAATACTTGTGAAGCAGTGGTTAGCATGTTCTCCTTGTGTCAGCGTGGGTTTCCTCCAGGTGCTCCAGCTTCCTCCCACAGTCCAAAGACATGCAGGTTAAATGGTGACTCTAAATTGTCAGTAGGTGTGAATGTGAGTGTGAATGGTTGTCTGTCTCTATGTGTCAGCCCTGTGATAGTCTGGAGACCTGTCCAGGGTGAACCCTGCCACTAGCCCAGTGTCAGCTGGGATAGGTTGCAGCCCTAACAGGATGAGCTGTTACAGAAACTGAAGAATTGAATTTTGGGGATAATTGCACAGCTCTATGTCAAATTGCACTGACATCTATAGGATGTGTTTGTTTTTTAATCCCCCATAAGGGGGCTCGACCTTGACATTTTGGATGTGCCTGTATATGACATTCTGGTCTATTGGCACACAGCCGTTTGGCAGCAGGATATCTAACAAGGGGGGAATTTAAGAAGCGGCAGCAGTTTGCAGACTAATGTCTGGGAAATTTGTGTGTCATGGAAATAGGGTAAAATATTAAGGAAAAGTTTTGAAAGTTCATTAGTTAAAATGTGTAAGAACCCTGCTGATAATCAAACAGAGTGATTGCAATGAAGTTTGCACACATCAATTATTTAACATCATGTGATATGTAGAGCCGCGGTTAACTGAAGCACCACTGCAGATTGTCTCCCCTCACATTCCTCAGTCCCTCGGTAAATGAAAGTATCTAATAGAGTTCAAATGCTGAGATGAATCTTAAAATAACTTCTTCATCCTGTTCTTCACGCTTCTGCGCCTGCTGTTCTGTGGATGATAACTGCGTCACAAAGGCAACAGATTTCATTTCAATTTGAGAACACAGAAACCATAAATGCCATTAAGTGATATCCCGTCCACATTTGTACCTACAACTGTGTTTTTGCCCGAGGATATAAACTGTGAAATCATTTTTCTCACTTCCACAGCTCACACAGCTCCTGCTCTGTGGCTCTGTGCAGCAGTCTCCTTTTCTCCTTCTGTACTTTTCTCTTCTGCTCCCAAGTTTCTCTGTGTTTTTTTGTTCTTTTATTGTTCCTCAACCTTTTGCTCAGCGTTTACTGTGAGCCTACTCCGCTCGATAACTGTTTGTCTGTGTGCGTTCACTGCACAGAGCGTGCGTCTCTGTGAGTGCTCAGATTTGCCACATGCTGTGCTGTACTTGAAAGAGTCCCTTCCTCTCTCTCCCTCTCTCTGCAGATCACTCCATCACCCTGGAAACTTGTAGGCAGGCTGTTTCGGAGCTTCACAACAGTCTGAGGAAAACCGCCATGCTCTACACTACGGTCAGTGAGTGTGTGTGTGTGAAAATGGAGACGTGAGGGTTAAGAGAGCCTGGAGGGAAAATATATCTTGAAGCGAGATAAGGAAGATAAAAGGCAAATAGACAGAGATAATTTCTCACATATTTCATGCCTGTTAATGCTGCCACACTAATTTCCTTTTATTGTTATAATCTCATATAGAGATAGATATTACTGTTGATATATATATAATGTATTTTTTAAATCCTACATCACACTATGCACTTTTTGTTGTAGCTATTTTATGGATGTTGCTCTTTGCAAATCTTGTCGGTGGGGAAATAGCTTTACTTTATTACAGAGCTGAAATAATCTGTTAATGGATTAGGCGATCAGCAGAAAATTGTTCTGCAACTATTTTTGAAAACTCATTAATTCTTTGAGTTGTTTTTTAATAAAAATGACAAACATTTTCTGGTTCTAGTTCCTCCAATGTGAAAATGTACTGCTTGCCTTTGTCTTTTATGATAATCAACTAAATATTTTGGGGACATTGACTGTTAGTGGAACAAAACAAGCAGTCTAAACTGGATTAATTTCCCTAGCCAGAGCTTCATAGTTATTCACCATGGCCCTATCTGACCTGGCGATAGAGAGTTCCAAGATATCATGTCATACAATAGGGTAACCCATTATTAATATGGAGTGTATATGGGGGCTTCCATTTCTGTATTAGCATTTTCTTTGCAGCTATAAAACCTAAAACCAACAGTCTTGTCTGAGAAAGTTTAAGAGATAATGAAGACTCATCATTTAGGAGTGAAACTGTCTGAATACATGGTATGTTGTTATGTTGATCTATACAAATCAGGCTGGTCATTTTTCTTTGATTCACTGTGCTGAATGTAGGTTGTGTTTTTTACACCGGGGGGGGGGGGGGGGGGGGGGGGGGGGGGGTAATATGTGCATTAGGGATGTTCCTGGCGACTAAACTAAACGAAAATTTAAATAAGACTAGTTGACTAGTCTAAAAAAGGGAAAACACTCAGAAAACAGTCAAAATTTTGCTCAGTTTATTATTAAGTATTTTAAACATTGTCCCAAAAAAATACTGTTAAGAGCCCCGTGGCTGTAGCCCCCACTAGTGGCGGTTCACTGCATTGACAGTTTAGCCACCTTGTACATGAATAAAACACCAATTGGTTTAACTGACTAATATCTCTGGTGCTGACTAGTGAGGGGGCGGTGTTTAATCGTTTAGATGACTAATCGCGTGCCTCCCTAATGTGCATACATGTACTGATGTATCTGTTTATGTTGTATATGGATATGTGTAGGCACATGTATACATACATGCAGTGCTTGTGTACGAGTGGTACATTCATCAGTGATAGTCCTGAGTAAGATGGTCTTTTTACCTCCGCCAGCGAGGTTATGTTTTTGCCGGCGTTGGTCTGTTTGTCTGTTTGTTTGTTTGTCTGCAAAATAACTCAAAAGTTCTGAACGGATTTTGATGAAATTTTCAGGGAAGGTTGATAATGGGACAAGGAACAGATGATAAAATTCTGGTGGTGATCGGTTGAAGCGAAGTGGATAAAATAATAAAATGGCGGGAAATCCGAGCTGCTTGGCGGAGGTCTGCGCTCTCCGAGTGCTTTTCTAGTTTTGTGTCTTGATTCATCCTCTCATCATGCTTATTTCGGCATGTTTTTTTTATGTCACTCAAACGATTTAGACATCACAGGTCATCGTAAGCCAGCCAGGGCGGGGAGGGGAGAGTTAGAGTTCGAGAGACAATAGGTTAATTTTCCTTCGGCATTTCAATACCTTTAAGATTTGTAAAACATAATGAGATGCAGTTATGTATATATGATTTATTATTAATACTTTACAGAGTAACTAAATAAAAATGTAATCACAAAAAAGGGAAAAATCAGCAGAATAATCTGTCGTATAAACGTTCATCATCTTAACCCGAGTTAAGGTCTTTAGACTGCTTGTTTTGTCCCACAAACAGTCAATGTCCCCAAAATATTTAGTTGATTATCATAAAAGACAAAGGCAAGCTGTGCATTTTCACATTTGGGGAAGTAGAACCAGAAAATGTTTGTCATTTTTATTAAAAAACAACTCAAAGAATAAATGAGTTTTAAAAAATAGTTGCATAACAATTTTCTGTTGATCGCCAAATCCATTAATGGACTCATTGTTTCGGCTCTAATAGAAAGTAAAACTATTTCCCCACAGACGAGATTTGCAAATTTATAGAATAACATTAACTAAGACAAGACAGTGCATTAAAGGATGCAGGATTTAAGAAATACATTATATATATCAACGGTAATATCTATCCAAATATACGATTATAAGAGGAAATTAGAGTGGCAGCATTAACAGGCATGAAATACGTGAGAAATTAGGTGATGTCTTCTTTTGTCCAACTAACAGCCTAAAACCCAAAGATACTCAAGCTACAGTCATATCAGGAACCAACAAGAGCTTGAGCAGATAATCTGCCTCATGTACTACTGTAAGAATATGGCGACAGTGAATATGACAAGTTATTTTTTTAACGAAGTTACGAACTGTAGCTTTAATTCTTTAATCTAGAAAATAACTGATAATAAAAACAATCATTAGTTGAGACCCTGCTTGAGTTTTTTAGCATTTTCTTATGTCAGTAACGTGCTTCAGAGCACACTTGAATTTTTATCTATAATCTGATGGACAGATCAAACAGAGAAAGACACAGACAGACAGACTCACTCACTCGCTGCCTGTCTGTTTTCCATATGTACTCATTAAAACCAGGTGCTACAGAGCGGCCAGCAGCCCAGTGAAGATCAACAAGAAATGAGGAGCATCCTGTCAGAGGCTCTGTTCACGGTCAAGGCTGAGCTGGACTCTCTGCCTCACCCCACCTCGCAGTGCGAAGGGCACCAAATGGACCAAGGGGTCAAAGGTGAAGGAGAGAAGGCCCTGGCAATGCTGGAGCAGTAAGCTGAGCTGCTGCTGAAGTCTGTGGAGAGGAAACTGGACACCAAGATGTAAGGAGATGGACTGATGTTTGCCACGTGGTAGGAGCCAGACGTGTGCACACACAGCAGCACTGTGAATTGTTATTTGCACAGAGATCTTTAGGAACTTTATTTGTGGACTGAATGTAGATGAGATGTTATTATATGTGCAGGAGCTGAAAGAAATGAATCCTGAGTATTATGCACTGAAAAAAGTAAAAAGGTTGCCTTATTTTTGAAGTTGCCATAGCGCTTCTTTTCTACTTTTTAAAATCAAATTTCATAAACGTAATGAATCACAATTGTTACAAAGGGAGACACCAGAAGGACAAAAATTATGAAATTGACATGTTTTGGTACGGGTTAAAATGTCAGAAGCCCCGTTAGCATCCCCCAGAAGCTGCAGGGTTCATTATTTTATTCCAAAATAAAAATGTTAAAGGACAGAATAAACAATTTTCTGTATAACCAGTAGTGAAACTCAAAATTCATCCTTAAGGCTTTTGCACAGAGTCAGTTTTTTTCGTCCAAAATTGTCACACCCCTACAAATAAATATGACCTCATGTTGTGTTAATCATGTTTGCACACTGAATCTGAAACTTTCGTCTGTCATTAAGAATTTCAGCACAGGTACGATTTTCTGCGCTTTTCGGGTCTGTCAGAAGCCTTTAGAGACATTTGACCAAGACTCGGTGAAGAATCATTTCATAACTCATACTTTCAGCAGGTCAGATAGTAATATTCAGGTGGATGATGATGAAAAGGAAGATGTGGAGGACAGAGAGTGAGGACAGCTCCGCCCCTTCGTGCAGCTGCGGTGCCAAGTGAAAGACAGGGAGAGAGTGATGAAAGCCAGATAGGTAACTCCAGTGGAGAGAGGCACAGGAGGAAATTTTCACAACGAATAAAACAATGATGATTAAAAAACTGACTCAGTGTGCAGAGGCCTGTAGAGTGGCGTTACAGCAAGTAACATGGCTGTTAAAATCCAAAAGCTTTATGCTGTTTGGTGATATTAATCTGCACAGCCGTTTCCATGGAAATATGTCAGTGTTTCTTGCATGAAACACTCATGTTCTGGCCAGCTGATGACATGGTTTAGGTTCATAAAGGTGACCAAAAATGTAATGAATGAAGGGGTTCATCCTCTGGGGAACAGGAACATGTAAATCTTTAGCATCTTTAGGGCTGATCTGCTTCTGTTGGGAACTACCTAGAGATGGACATGTTAAAGTATGTTTAAGTGGGAGGTCAGAGGAAGTTAAGTTAAAGTGTGAGGATAGAAGTGGTGTTGAGAGTTGAGGTAAGTGTCAGATGATGGATTTGGGAAGATGTTGAGGGTGTGTAATTCATATTTTTGTATCAGTGGTGTCTCCCTAATCTCAGAGTACTGTAGCAATGACACATTCCTTTATGTAGATCATAACTAGTCTGTCAGTTTATGTTCTTTATGTTTTTATAGTGTTGATTTTAATTTTTGTATTACTCTGAAAGAATTTTCAAACTGTTTTCTGTAAACAAATAAACAGTGAAAACAATGGACCAGATTTCTGACTGATCATTTTATTTAAGAATTACTACAGTTAACAGAATCCTAATGGACATATATAATAGACCTTGTTGTTTTTTTGCCAATATTAGCATGTGTTTAATTCTCAGTTAGTAGCAGTTGAGTAATATAGAAAATATTGTACACAATAAATACAGTAACAGTAGCATCTAGATATAGGAAAAGGAAGCTGTGTGCGTATTAAAGGTCCAGTGTGCAGGATTTAGGGGGGTTGCAGTCTGTACCCTCGGCCACTAGATGCCACTGAATCCTACACACTGGACCTTTAAATTGTTAGCTATGTGGTAGAAGAATATAATAGAATGAGTTCAGCTTGTTATAATTAATATTACATCACAAATGAACACTTATATGTTTGATCTTTAAGCATAATAAATTCTACAATTTTAGTTCCTGTAAAATGTAGCCTATAGATGGTGTGTTTATGTGCACGTTTCTATTTGTTTACATTTCTGCTCATGCATTTACAACACACTGATACATGTCTGTGTCCTTAATGTGTTTATTTATGTATTGTGTGAGTGTTAGCGTGCTTCCTATGGCAGTGTCTCCACATTGACGCAGGTGAGGACGACATCATGCAGGATGTTGATTCTGTCGATCTGGTTGAGCTCTCTGATTCGGTGTCGGAACTCGAACAGCGGGATATTGTTCACCGCTACCCTGAACGCCTCGTGGGTGCACAGGATCTTCATCTGGAACAGAGCAGAAAAGGAAGGATGTACTACTTTCATCTGGACTGTGGAGCGGCTCACATGCAGCGCACATTTAGAAAGAAAAACAAGAATCATTTATCATGATTTCATTTAGGAAAAATCATTTTATGGGGCCAAATCTTCTAACTGGAAGAAAAAATATGTTTTATTTAATTAGGATTATTTAATGCCAGAAAATGAAACTTAACTAACTGAAGAATTGAAGCTAAAACTGAAGGAAAAGTCTAAGAGCCCTGATGTTATTGCTGCCAGTAGACATGGACACAGAGACAGAATTAGCTCCTCAGATTAGTAACCTCTTGGCGATGCCTGTAAAGCGTAATTGTTATTGATGTTATTGAGCAACACGAGACCCCCACTGACCTCCAGGAGTCTCCCTGCAGTGCAGCAGTACTCTTATCTAGGGCCAGCTTGCACAAACGACTTTCCAACCCTTTCCATCTTTTCCAAACGTTAGCCTGACGTTAACCATGAGAGAGTGACCTGGAGTCAGTTAAAGGCACCATGTGGAACATATTTGGAAATTCACACCACAGACAAATGAGAGCATATTAAAATGATTAGTGGCGTCTGTTTATGTCTTTTATTTGTGTTGTAAAAGAGCAGAAGCGGGTTAGTGGAAGCAGACACTTTGCTTCAGGTGAACATCTGTCTCCAAATGAATGTGGTAATGATTTATTGACATTAACATGCAACACACAGCAGCCTTGAACACAGCTTTTTAATCTACTGGTTCCTCTCTCTTACGCTCACCTCAAATGGGCTCCCTTGAGCGAAAGGGAAGGGTCCCTTCAGATCCCTCTCTTCTTGGCCCCAGCGCTCGCCCAGTTTGTGGTTACGCACCAACGACTGTTTGCCCCCCTCACTGAAGCGGGGGTTGATGTGGAGGGCGATGTCGTTGCCTCTCAGGAAGTTCACTGTGAACCTGTGGATGACTAAAGCTGGTCAGACTGTCACTGAAACTGTCTGTACGATTTATCTGTCCTCCATTAACTGGAAATGTAAAATGGAAACTACAGACTATGGTTTACATGCACTGTAGACTTGTGATGGACGTTAAATGGAATTTTCTATCAATCTATACTGAATATAGTACACACACTGGTTATGTATGTGAAAGTGACGTGATATTACATGCATAACCAAACTGATTTTATTATTATAATTTTAATTTTTCCTTATTTTATATGTGATTATTTTACTGTTTGTATAAAACTTAAAAATAATCAATAAAAACAATGTTAATAAAAGATTCGTATATTCTGTATGAATGTTAAAATTAATATTATTAACTTAAATAAGTATTTCACCACTGGAAATGTGGTCTTCTTATAAACCTTGTCTGTCAATGCGGTTAAACAACGCCAACACTTTTGAAATTGGTGCTACATGTCCAGAGAAAACAAAGAAAAGAGCTCTGGTATTTGTTTATCCTCAAGAGGCAGAAAACCTACAACTACCAGAATGCACAGCGCCACACAGACGCCCGCTGGTGCGTGACATACTGCGGATTCGCCATTTTACCACAGGAAACAAACAACATGGCGGACGACCGGTAACAAACGACCTCGAATTACAGCTAAACGGTAAGCTAAAATACGTTTCTACAAATATTTTTGTGATAAAACGGGAACGCAGTAACAGAAACTTGGTTTATATTTTATTAGCACTGCCTAGTTTTACAGTTTGATCTCATTTTCTTCAACCTACGAAACATGAAACAAAATGGCGCCCACTTCCTGGTTACAAGTTTTTGTACTACCACCAAATAGAGTGATAAAATATGTTTCTGTAGACATTTTAGGCGAGATATTGGCAGTTCAGGAACAGAATATTGGTTTATATTTGTTCAGCACTGCCTAGTTTTACAATTTTATCTGTTTGGTCTCAGTTTGAGATACAGAGAATGAGGGGCAGGTGTCTCTTTAGCCACATACAAACTCTTTGGGTGCGTTCAGGGTCACATACTTTCTCTTTTAACTTCAGTCTGTACTGCAGCTGTCCCTACAAAGTACCTACTGTTGTATACAGTATTCACACATACTACTTCTTCATAACATGCGCTGAGCTTTGACCCTCTCTTTCATATGTCCTTTATTTTGGAGATAAAACAAAATGCCTTCACTGAGCTTCCCAGAGACAGAGATCAACCCTTTGCTGTTGTTATTTTTCAATACGTTTTATAACTGCATACATTGTAGATTCTAACATATTCCTGATGGTAAAATTACATCTGCATTGTTCTGTCATTGTTATTTAATTGCCCTTTTGTTGTTGGTTATATTTATGATTATTTTGTTCAATTAATTAATATTCCTATAGTAACTATACGACTAGTCACCAGTCACTTTAATGTTGTCATCCCTCATTGCTGCTTCAGTCAGCTGTCATTGAGCTGTCAAGCTGTCATTGTTTGCATCTCAGTTAGTCAGAGGATTGTGGGTCAGAAAAGCATGCTGACTTGCATACTGCAAAATGCGACCGGATGTAGTATAGGATTGCAAGGGTATGAAATTTTCATGTTTAGATAACCATCTTAGCAAATATCGCGGTTTTGCAGCAACATGATATTTCAGAATTATTATTATAATTATTATAGGATTATTATAAACATTCAGAATGATCCTTAAAGGAATTATACGGAAGGGCTAGTTTTTGGGATACCTATAACATCGGTACTTCATCCGTATCAGCCAATATTGGCTTTGAAATCAACTATCAGAATTGGCCAACATGCTTTTTCTTAATTTGCACAATGAGTGGATATTACATTTATTGAAAAGTATTGTATTTCATGTCTCCATCTGCTGGTGGGTCATCATGATTACAGTGCATTATAATACATGCATAATATGATATTAATTCCTCTAGAGAGGAGACTTGATGATTACTAAAAATAGGAAGGGAAAGGTAGGGAAGTGGATGTATCAATATCGGTATCACTTATTGGTCAAATGAGTTGTTACATAAATACATATTAAGTATCAACCGAGTTATTTTTGGTAGCAAACGTTTAGCCTAATTAGTACTATAATTAAAAGTTAAAACCATTTTTTAATGGATGTGTAAAAAGTCTCCCTTTTGAAAATAAGTTAAATAAAGGTGAGATTTTCTGTCCATTTCTTTTTTCAATAACACAGATAAGCAAATGTACACATTACGATAACCATCAATTTCAATACAACAATATGCTTTGAGACTGGTACCATTGCAACCCTAATGTAGTAGGGTGTTTTTGGCATACTGCATTTGACATACTATCAATTGTCACATACTCATTTTTTTCCCTGTCTTACTAAATAGTATAGTAGTATGGGTATTGGAATGCACAGTTTGTGTCCATGGTGGAGGGCAGATGAAAATCAGACAACTATAGCAACTAAATTATATATGTAGATATATTTTATATGTTACTTGATGAAAATGCAGAAGTACAATCTGTAGTTTGAGTAACAGCACTAGAGCCAGCAAAACATTTTG